AGGTTTGGGGTGTCACTGACAGTACAGTACAGAGTCTCTTTTTAATATGTCTAGTCCTCTACAGGACGGACAATTAAACTAATGCCATGAGAAATTTTGCAAGCATTTCCTATTTAAATAATGTTCCTCTGTCTGTGCAAGTTTTCCTCCTTTTTTATACTAAGTGCTTTCAGGGGAGATGAGACTTCATTCACTTGGCCAACATTGTCTTTGTAGTGAACTTGGTGTCCTGTGGAGAACATTTTATCCTGCACCATCACCTGTGGGGGCTCTCAAGAGGAAGGCTGTTTAACAGCTGTCCTAGTTGCTTAGGCTTGGTAACAACTCTGAGTTTACTCATCACCACCACAAGTTCTTGTGGTGGTTCCTCCTGAAATCCTTTTCAGTTATTAATGGTGGAGAGTGTAAGTCCTGAAAGAAAAAAGATGTTTTAAAGATGACAGGATTGCTTTGGCAGTCTTAAACAGGCTAAATTTTTGTTTATTTCAGAGGTAATCTGGATAAAGCCATTGAAATGTTCAACAAAGCTATCAACCTGGCCAAATCAGAAATGGAGATGGCCCACCTCTACTCACTCTGTGATGCTGCCTATGCTCAGACAGAAGTTGCAAAGAAGTATGGATTGAAACCACCAACGCTGTAAAGAAACAAGGAGGAAATGACCTTCCAAAGTGAAGTTGCCCACTTCAGCCAGCCCTAAAGACGCTGTTGCAGACCATGCTGAATGGTGGAACTTAGTTTTTTCCTGTTCATGGTGTTGTCATTTGCTACATCTGTTAAATGTTTAGGTGTTGTGGGAGTGGTTGTTCAAGGAAGTATGCAGTGCTGCATCTTGTTCCTTCTGCAGCAGAAACCTTAGAGTGTGTTAAGGGAAATAAAGTTGCAGGGGAACCAAAGGAACATATTTTGGCCATGCAAATAAAAACTTCACACTGATTCATTTTGGGTGATTATGTTGTGGGCGATTTTTGCTTTATCAAATAATATTACAGCATGTGGGTTTTTTCCTGTTGATTTTAAAGGTAATACTAGTAAGTGCTGTAAAATAGGTTTTATATCCAATTAATCCTTGAGGGTTGATTTAAATTTTGCAAAAATTAATTTTCAAACTTTAATAATAGAGGGTTTTTTTAAGTCAGTAGATGTGGAGAGAATACATGTAAATATATGCAAGCATGCACAATCTTCCCTTAAATCCCCTTCCACCCTCTGCATAACTTCCTTAGAAATAGTCCTGTGGCAGCTATTAGGGAATTAATTTGATAGTCCTTATTCTCACCCCAGAAAGCCCTAGAGTACTGCATAGGAGAGCTAGGAAAAAGGTTGGCTGGGGAAGGAGGTCAGGTAACATTGCTTCAGTGTAGACTTTACTGGAAGAAAGAATGTATTCCTGTGCAGCAGTCCTTACTTGAATGTCACAGGAAATTGTTCTGGAGGGTTCAGAGGGACTTTCAAGAACAGAAAGCACTGCTGGGAGTCAAGCTCCAAAAGGTAAGGTCATGCTTGCATATAATCTTTGCAATCTCTGATGCTTTTGCATAAGTGTAGCAGCTGATAGACTATCTAAATTTTCTTCAGTCTCTAGAGACTGCTGGGTTATGATCTCCTTTTAAGAGCTCCTTGGCAGGATTAAGTGAGGTAAGGAACAAAGCATAGGCTCAAACTTTCAATAATGGATTTGCAAACTGCATTTATTTTGTTTTTGTGTAGACCCTATCTTGTCCAAGTTTTCAAATACTGTAGAAGGGAAGCCGTTGTGCTGCAAACAGTAGATGGGCAAATTATGAAAGTGTTTTTCTCTCTTAGGAACTTCACAGAGGGCACTCTTGCTTTGGGTTGATCTTTCTGGTGTGGAAGTCAGTCCATCTTACCTTTCCCTGTACTGATGTGGCTGGATAAACCTCATGCAAATGATGTAGCTTAATTTAGGACACACTATATTTGGCTTCTTTCCATCCTGAAATCATAGATTTGTTCGTGGTGAATTGTCTATAACCTTTTAAAGAAATTAATGATGCTGTAGTCAAACTGTCTTGGTCTGTAGTTGTGCCACCATACAGCAGCAGCTTGCATTTTCAACTTGACCTTCCTTTCTCCCAGCAACTACAGTTGAGTATGCAAATGGTGGAGAGCAGAGATAAAGATTTAGTCATTATTTTAGTAGCTCATTAGGTGACCTGAAATCATAGCACTGGTGTAGAATTGAAGATATGGGAAGGTACTGGCAGCTTCTAGGGGCACTGAATGTAACAAGTGTCAAATGTCTTCTCCAACTTCCAATCTCTGCATCAGTTACCTGACAACAAAAAAAAGCCAGGCTGACGAGTCCTGTTCTCTGAGGAGTTTTTATTCGCATGGCCTTATTTACATTGGCATTTTCTCCTCATCACCCCATCTGTACCCCACTCCTCACCCCACCCAATCAATTAAGGGAAAAAAGCATGTGCTGTCAATTACTAGCATTCCAAATCATCACGGACTTTTGCCTGTTCTTCAACTAGTTTGAAACTGCACTGAAAGGATGCATTGTCTGTAATTTTTTTGTAAATGACATATCACCTGTAAACTGAAAAAATAAATAACTACCTTCAAGTATCTCTCTCTGACATGTATAAGAACAGGTTTTGATGAAGGTGTTCCCTGCAGTAGTGAGCTCTGTGCTTATGTTCTAAGTCTAGGAAGAACTGATCATTGACTGACTCCTTGTCATCTTCTCTCACTTCAACGTTTAAGAAAGGATGAGGATAAAGAATGTGGAATCAACAAATGCGATCTCTGCTTGCTTCCATCACCCACAGAGGTATGATCTTGAGAGCTGAAGATTACAGGGGAAAGGAAGTGGAGCCAGGAGGGCTGGGAATCTGAGTAGCTGTGACCCTTTTTATGTGTGCATGCAGCTGCATCCCTGTGATGAAAGGGACTTTTTGTGAGTAGTTGCTACAGTTGAGGTTTTATTTTAAGCCAGGTGTGCATGTGAACTTTGAAGTGAGAAAAGTATTACTGCTCTTTAAAAAAAAAAAAAAAAAAAAGTTGAAATTATTTAGGAAGCTAGTATTGAAGACTTGGATAAAGCCCTTGTGTCCTAGAGGGATACTCTGGGAAGTTGCTTCTACATACAATTGTCTAGCAACTTAATTCTCATCATGTATGGTCCCTGCTGTTCACAGAGACAATGCTGTCAGGCACATGGTGTGATTCTTGGGATGTCCTGCACAGGGCCAAGAGTTTGACTCTGATCCTGACAGGCCCCTTCAACTCGGCATATTCCATCAGTCTAAGCTGTGACTTGAATTCCTAGGATCTAATTGCAGATGGAAAGGAAAGAGGGAACTAACATGCACTGCAAAGTTATACTGTAACTTACTCTGGAACTACCAAGAGCAGCTTAGATGCAGGTTTACCCAGCCCAGGAATTCTAACACTGCCCAATTTTCTGCCGTTTCTTCAAAAATAATTTAAATTCTTGCAGACTGAAATTCTGGAACTGTTTCAGGGTTGTTACTGATTAGTTTCCTGGACTTACAGAATACTGGTGCCTATGTGTCATATGGACACTTGCAAGTGCCTGTTTTCTACCAACACAAAGGTTGAGTATTGGCTGCTTCAAGTACTGTGGCTAAGAACTGACAGTGTACTTTTTTCAGTGAAAGCCTCGCAAATTCTCAGTCCCATCTGCATCATTTCTGAGTGCAGCGCACTGGAGACCCTACTAAATACCCTGCTAAAACAAGGTGCTTAGAAGTTGTCCTCACAGACTGAAAAGAACTGAGCTTATTTCAGCTCTTCAGGTGAGTTCACCAAGTTGGGTTTTATTGGTTTTTCTTCCTTCTCTCCATGTGGGATTGCAGGGAGGAGAGTTCAGACCACAGATTCTGTTACTTGTTGCAAACTGCATTTCTCAGATTTAAGTGGTCAGCCCATGAGAGTCCTGCACTACTTTAATCTTCCAAAGGTAGTATTTATTTACTCCTGTGTGTTGAACTAGTAGAGAGATGGGAGGGAAAGAGAGAAAATAGTTATTATGGCTTAGAAGTTGGAGCCTGACAATGGCCATCATGGATATGGGGTTGTTGAGTATGTGGGAAGCACTAATCTAATGCAGGACACTCGGCTCAAATGGTAAATTGTTAATTTTTTAATATTTATTTTTCAACAAATAAACCTTCATTTTACCTTGTACTGTATGGGTTGTTTCTTAAAAGTTCCTGTGCAGTATATACACCAAAATGCAGTGAAACAGACCAAAAACACCTGCTGCTACAGAATGCCACCGAGTGGAATGATGGGATCTGGCTTTTGAGGGAAGGATGTGTCAGGGCTTGGCTGAATGTTTGTTCTTATTTATAAATCACACCAAGCTCATTGCAGAGAAGCCAAAATGTTAAAAAACCCCCCAGAAACCCAAAAAACTTGGGAAGAGGATTGGTAAAGGTGAATGAAATGTAAGATGGTTTTGGGGGAAATGTGGTTAGGTAGAGTAAGACAAAACCTTTTCTCCCTCCCATTCTTGTATTTTGAAATTTTTTTTAGCCTTACAGCTGTTTTATGCTGCTGGAAAACCAAAAGCTTATCAGTGGAGGCTGGTAAGTTGCTTTTTTTTTTCCATTCCAAGGAATAAAAAGCATAAATTGTTACATTCTTTTTACATTAAAAGATGTCTTCCTTCAAAAAGAAACCCCAAAACCAGAAGTGCAATGTGCTTGGCTGGTTTGCAGTATTTTAAAGTCATCTTTCTCAATCAGTTTGTGTCCAGCAAAAGCAGCACAGTCAGGAATGTGGATGGCAGCTGCCCATGGCAATAATGCATTCAAGCACTGAGCAGTCTTCTGGGAGACTGTGGGCAGGACTTAGTGCAGGAGGGTTTCCAACCCGACTGCTCTCAGCCTTTTCCAGGCAGCAGAAGTAAAGCCCACTCAAACATTTTGTTAAGGAAGCAGTAGGGAGAGCAAAGGCCAATTACTGTAACAACACAGCAATCTGTGTCACTTCAGCAGTGAACAGCATTTGCCATAAAGAGAATTTAATACACAGATCCAGACAAAACACATGAACCAAAAACTGTCACAGATTCTTCTATAGGAGCAGCTCTGTCTGGCAGCTTCTTGCAGTGTCCTGAGTAGAGCAGAGCAGAATTTGGCCTGTTTTGCTCAGTGTGTTAAATTTTAAGCTTCCCAAGTAGGGCATTCAAGGACCTTGGTTAAGTCATGTACATCTAAAAAGGACAGAATGAGAAGAATCATGCTTCTAGATTTTCTGACAATTCACTGAAAAATTCATAATACCAAAGCTGACTTGAGAGTTTCAGAAAACAAGATTTCCATTTCTGTGTTCTACAAAACAGGCCTCAGAAGGTAACTAAAACATTATGATGACTAAAAATCAACGTTAATCACTGCTGTATTGAACTGTTTTCATCTCCATCTTTATCCTACCTGTAAAATACTATGAAATATTGAAGTATGAGAGGAGATACAAAAGTTATAGTTCAATCATACTAGAATTGCACCAAGTTTTTTGTTAGGTGGTGTTTTCTTAACTGGCACATTAGGTAGTAAATTGTTGAGCAACTACTAAGGAAGTCCTTCCAAAGATGAAGGCAACAGCCATTGTGACAGCTGAACCTTCCCTCTTCACCCAGCTTCACTTTTTCATCTCGACACCATAGAGATCACAACGTTTTTGGCTTAAAATAGGAATCTGCTGACGTATTTCTGCAAGTTTCTTTAGATCTGCAGGAGAGAAGAAAAGAGTTAAGAGAACAGCAGCCAAAAAAGAAAGCTCCTGACTTCCTCTGAGGTAGGACAGGGAAAATAGCAACTGTGATGGAGAATGGGGTGGTAGGGCACTGCAAGTGTGCAGCCAGGGCTGAAGGAAGCCTCAGCTTTGCTCTTTCCTAAGGTGGCACCTTCTGCCTAAGGGAGTGAACTAGAAGGGTACAGCTCTAGAATATTGTATGTAGAACGGGATAGTGCTGCTGGTTCTTGCTTTAACCTAGCAAAGGTGGACAAGGCAGGGGAATGCTGCATTATGCATCATCTGCAGTTGCATGTGTAAGGCCATAGACTTAAAAAAAACTGTCCCTCCTTAGTGTCATATCCTGTACTCAAGAAAAAAAGTGGGGAAAAAACAAAACCATTTTTTCCCTTACCTATATCTGTGTATACAACTGTTTCCTCAGCCCCAGCTTTGGCTATGACTTCACCCCTGCAAAATTAAGTACATTTGTTCACAGGATTAACACATTGGTTTCAAGGCATCAGTGCAGTTGCTGCTGTTTGTATAAAAAGCAGTTCCTACCCTTGATGCCTACAGCTGTAACTACAGGGCTGTCCTAAAAATAGCATCATAGTCCATAACTCTGGCATGATAGAAATGGCTTCCAGGGTTTATATATGGCACTTTCTATATGTGATATATGCATACTTAACACGTGTCTTTCAAAGATCAAGAACTGTGGTAAAAGCCACTCTGAAAAACACTGCCTCTAAGCATGCAATATACCTCAAGGGGAAAGGAACAACCACACTGGCAAAGATGAACACTTTCTCCTTTGAAGATCCTAATGGGTATTCATAGTGTATTTTTACTCTGCATGAGCTACTGAACATGATTGTGTCTCCCCCAAGGGTTTTGTCACTGCTTTTATCATATAAAGTTAAAAGCCCAAGACACAGACAGTTTTTCTTACTTGCAAACAGCTTGGAAGTGAGCTATCAGTAGATTTATCTGAAAGAAAAACATCTGCCTGAAGATTTGGTCACTTTTACCTCCTTTGCACCTGCATGACTTCTGCTCAAGTCAGAATCTCTCTTCTCTAGCTGAAGACATTCTTCTTGTTCTTTTCTTATGTCAAAGCAGTGTTGTTCTTTGAGGAAATGAGATAGTTCTGTGTGAGCTGTTTAAGAGAATTACCCTATGCATAGCATTCAATGGACTGAACTTCAGGGACAAGGTGACAAGGTCAGCAGTTCAACTAATGCTTAATCCCAGTGCTAAGTAGCATCTTTACTACCAAAATGAATACATACTCAAAATAGTTCGAGTTTTTTTTTTGTTTGTTTTTTTTTTTTAGTTTGGCTATTTTAAATTATGATCTTGAGAATGTATGCTCAAGTCTCATGTGCTTTTTACCAAGAATTTGCAGTTTTAACAGTAGATGGAAAAGTAGGACTGAAGTGTGACTGGCAACTGAAATACTTTTTACTGAAGGTGGTATGTTTTATTTTATTGAACTCACCATGGATTTACTACAGTGCTGTGTCCCCAGGCAACATAGGATGCTTTTTCATCTCTAGCAGGAGATACAGTAGCTACGTAGAGTTGATTATCAACAGCTCTGTGTTCACAAAAAAATGAAGGAAGGGGGAAAAAAGTGAGAAGAATTAGTTTTTATAATACCATTTAATTAAGCAGAAGAGAAATAATCCACTCTGAAGGACAAGCTATATATCCTCTAAATGACTAGCCCAAACTGTGAATGATACAAAGGTCAGAGAAAGAAGACCCTGGAAAGAGAAGTCTCTAGCACCTGGCTAGAGTTAGTACATAGAATATCATGGAATTCACATGTTCATTCAGTATGCAGCAAAAATTATTGAAGCTGACCAAATGAAACAATAATACAGCATTCAGGAATCTCAGAGTCTATTTCTACCTGTAATTAGAGCAGTTCCCAAATGGTTACTGGCTCTTCTCTCTAGAATCTGTGTGTGAAGGGTGCTTATAAAGCCGTGGGAAAGGGTCATTGAAAGGGTATAGCGGGGGCAGGCGGGAGTAAAAGCCAATAACTTCCTGCTTTTCTCCTCGACAACAAAATAATTTTGGTGTCCCATGCAAGGCTTGAGGGATGGTACAGCTCCAATGGCTGAGTGGCCCTGCAGCACTACTTCTGAACCACAAGTGTCATTTGGAACATAAAAAAGTTGAGTTTCATGCACCAAAACTCCTCTAGAATAGGGGGATAAACTTTTACTGTGATCTTACCGTCCCCTTTGTAAGAGTTCCCAATGAGCTGGTCCTGTTGTCATGTTAAAAGCCCCTGGATATATCAGCAGCTGGCAGCCTTTGTTAAGAGACAATTAGAACCCAAGCATCATTAAGGGGAAGAGAAGCCCTTCACACTGAAACCCAAGATGAAGTTCCTTTCCACACTTCCCAGCCTTGCCAGAATGGAACCAAACAGAGCCTGTCCATGTGTAACATCTTACATCAGCCCAGAGCTGTGGTGGGGATACCCAGCTGCATCGCTCCACCAGCACATGTGGATCAGGAAGTGATCCACTTTATGGGTAAGGTTACTTTACTCTATGAGTGAGTCTTGGCCCCAGGATGCATTTTGGTTACTGGCAGGAATAAGAATGCCTGATCACATGGATCCAGGAATGCCTGATCACAGGGACCACCCAGCAGGCAGCACTCAGAACCAGCCCTGGCTAGCCCCGGCCTTGGGGCTGCCCAGTTCCCTTAGGTGACCCAGCCTCACCTTTCTGGCCGTAGATTTGAGCCATCTCGGCAAATCTCATATCATAGCAGATGCCCAGGCCCACTTTGCAGTATGCTGTTCCCAAAACACAAGAGACAGCAGTCATATCACTACACAAGTGCACAAAACAAGCACAAGGCTCCCTGTAGCCATCCTGCCAACTTATTTTATTTTGCATAGCTCACGGCAACAGAAGGAGCTATATTTAAATGTGTGTCCAACAAGCACTGGCTATTGTTGGGGGAGAATTCATACTTTAAGATGACAGAAAAAATGTGAGAGGTAGCTTATTTTATACTCACGTGTGTCAAACATGGAGAAACTATTCCCTGGACTCAGTGTTTCAGACTCTTTGAACTGTATCTTCCCAGGAACATTAATGTCAAACAAATGAACCTGCAATTATACTATGATTAATAATAATTACTAACAATTTCTCTGCTTGGTATTTGAGCCTCTTTAGGCATGTGTTTTCTACTGTTATCTAGACTATCTATATCTTTTGTCAGGATCCAAAGTAAACATTGCTTAACATTGTTAGATTCCCCAAAAGAATATTTAAGGTATTTTCTTCTGTACAAAAATATACACGTCTAAAGTTGCAAATACATGCAAAACATCTAGATGTCTTGATCTAATCATCTGTCTCTAACATTTGAGTCCCAATCTTGTAAAACTTCTCAAGAAAATACCTTCACCAAGCCACCAAGTTCCCATGACTTCAGCTATGCAGATGCCTCTGAGGGCCTGCAGCTGCCTTTATCCCTCCCATGCAATGGAAGGTGTTGTTCCATTGTGACTGGAGCTTCCCAACAACAGAACTGGTTTTGTTTTATTATTTGTTCATCCTTAGCACATGCCTGCACTCACTCTACGAGCAGCTCCTGGGCTTGCAGACTGCTGTGCTGTGACAGGTGGAAGGTGACACAGAACTGCTCAAGGTGATCTAGTAAGTCATGCTAATGTAGAATCAGCAAACAGAAGGCACCAGCTTATTGTTCCAAGTAACCCTGCATTATCTTTTTGGCTTATCCCTAAAAGAAAAAAGCTGTTGTTCATTCATGGTCAGATTCCTGTGTGCACAGACCCATGAACAGAAAATAGAGATAAGAATGAACAGAACAGTCCATGAAGAAAAACTGACTCTGGAGTTACAAATGGGAGGCAGTTTTCCAAAAGGCACAAAGCAATGATGAGGTGGAAGATGACAGCAAGAAAATATCTACCACAAACAGCAGCGACAGCTTAATTTGGACTCTGCATGTCTGCACTAATCACATGTACAGCACAAAGTATGTGAAGAACAGTATTTATGATAACAGAAGGACTAAATCCATCAGGAAGCTGAGGGAAAATCCTGATCCCGTTCAAGTGGGACTGTGTTTTAGACTTAGGCCAGGGTAAAGAGATATATGAGCTGGATCAGGTTTTACTCTTTATCATGGTTTTCCCAGCATATATAGGGAAAGCCAATTACACCTTCTAGCATTTTTTCATCCTTATCCAGAACAAATTTATGACCACTTTTTGAAGTGGTGTTTACATGCCCCAAATAAAAGTAGCATGAAATTTCATGGGTGATGGTATACAACTTATTATTAATGCAAGATTCTACTGATTTATACCACCTTTAAGTGGTATAAGATTATTTCATAAGACGAAATAATTTGTGCAACACTGCTGACGAAACTTTTCATAACAATATTCTGCCATCTTACCTTCCTATGCTTTGCCAGCAGAGCACCATCAGGCCCAAAGACAGTACATGTATTATAGAGCTTTCCACCATCCTCTTCTGGAATGGATCCTTTTTAAAGGCAAGAATAGAGATTTCTCCCACTGTATTATTTTGATCTAATGGCAGTAATAGTCATTGCCCATTTTTCCCCCAGTGAGATAGTCACTAAGAGTAAACTACCTCCAATGAGATATATGCTGCACTCCTTTGCAACTGCTGACAGCTTTTGTGTTGATTCCCCAGGGATCTTCTCTGCATACTCCTTAAAGTACTGGGTTCCATATGGAGAATTAAAGCATTCCTAGAGTTAAATGGGAAAAGAAAAAAAAGCTAAAATCCAGTAACACCACTACAATGAGATGTACTTAACTTTGCAAACTCCTTTCTAACCATATTCTCAAACAACCTTTGGTTACAGGAGTTTAGTTTATGGGAGCTCAGTAAGCGAACCAGAAAATGCCAGGAAGGCCAGAGGGACTTGAACAATTGTGTTTTGTGTGTTCAAACATACCAAAAGAGGTGTATTTGTGGAGTGCATGCCAAATAGAAGGTGAGCTACGACTATATGCAAGCTGTAAGGCCAGCACATTCACTGCTCTGGGCTTAACAAGAACACAAGGGATGTTCACATCAGAATGCAGAGCCAAGTTCAACACAACTCATTTGAAAGTCACAAGCTCGATAGATTCTCTCAAAACTGTGAAATGCTCATGCTCATCCGCAGCCCATGACTGATAATTTTTAAAAGGACATTTGCAAAAGCATGCATTTCTCAAAATTACTTATTGCTTTGTTAAAACAATCATTTAAACACTATTTCCTCACAACTGAAGAGTGTTCTCCACCTTAGGCCTTCGTTGAAGATTTTCCATCCCTTTAGAACTAGACAAGTAATCTTTACACAGTCAGATTAACAGAGTAGTTTAGATGCCCAAGATAGGTGGGCTAGTGGTATTCTTTCACTTTCACTCTGCATTACACTTGCCAGCTCTGTGAGGAGGTGAGACACTCCACCCAACACTTCCTTGTACCCTGAAGGAGTACAGCTGGAGGCCACAGATAGGCTATCAAACTGTGGCAGCAACTTCTCTTCTGTGAGAAAGGGACTCCCAGCACAGACACCTCCATTGTTCCCTTTGCTCATCACAAGTGACAAACACACCCCCACAAAGAAAAGGGGAGGAAAAAAAATCAAGCTGTGACTAGCACAATAAACATTTCTGCTTTATCTGCTCAAGCAAACTTCATAACAACTGAGATAGGTTCTACTGAAGTGCAATAAATGAACCCAAGCTGGAAAAGTTTTTTTTTTCCCTATACAGGGCACTAGGCCAGCAGGTATAAGCTAACCCACAGCACAACCTGTAGATGAAGTAGCAGGAAGGAAAATCTCTGCAGGCTGTCAAAATGAGCTTCCTAGACTTTTGAAATCTGGGCTGAACTTCAAAGAAGTGAAAGCAAAGCCAGCAGCCTCCATCTTCATATATTCAATATGAGTTACTTTCCTTTATATAAAGTTATTAAAACAAAAAATTAACCCCCCAAAGAAACAAAACAATGGGGAGACAATATTACATGCTCATGTCAATACAAAATGTATCTCCCAAATGTCTGTGAAATGGTTTGCCCGTGTTTGACAACTTGTATTTTAAAAGCATAAATCTTTGTTGACAAGGTGAGTATCTCAGCTAAATAAGTCTGGAAAATTCAATGTCTGTACACATGGTGAAGCCAGTAAATAATAGTAATCTCTACACAGGAGGCAGAACACTGAATGGTCACATTTGCAACACAAGAATCATGTTAGCACAGAGGACCTGGGAAGGTTGCTCAATGCTTCCCCCATGACAGCGGGAGAGAAAACATTCTGTGTGTAAAACTGAGACCCAAAGTTTGCCCAGAGATGAACTTTGCATTCCTGTGTCAGATGTACAGGAGTAACACAAGGTCACTCTCTCTCCATGAAGAGAGGAGAAAAGCTCAAACTGCACTGAGAAGCCCACCCTGTTGCCAGCACACCCATCGTGTGAAAATTCAGCAAAATAATTGTGGCTAAATTTCAAAAAGTGAGTCAGAAGTGATTGATAATTTTTCCACACAGGGAAGTCATAAGAGAAACGTGTCTTAATCATAATTCAGCCACAAATGACCTGCTGGAAGTGTATTTTAAGTCCATTTTGTTTCTTATGGATCTGGAATGCTTACAGCAAAGAGAGCTACTGTGTACGGTCTTTCACCTTCATGTCAACATTCTTTAGCTGAAAATTGCCTTTTTCTACACTTCTTCAGCAAAGATTCAATCTACAGTGTCACTTACCTGAATTCAGAATATATCAATGATGGTATTGCCTAGGATTTAAACCAGCAAAAACTTTACCAGAATCTTACACTACAAAAAAGATCAACCTGTTCTTTGTTTCCCTTCTCATTCTCCACCTCTTAATGTGCTGCCAGATACAGGCCCTAGGATTTTTTAGCTTTTAGTTTTAATTTGAAGCCTCATACAGCATCTAAGCTATCCAGAGAGGAAGAGGAATATATGTTGCATTAATAACACTAGAAAGAAGTTCTGAAGGGTTTGAAACATAAGGGCTAAGCAGGCCATGATCTTTACTCACAGGTAGAGCCACAAGTTTTGCTCCTTTAGCTGATGCTTCCCTCACCAGCCCACAGGCTCGTTGGAGATTTTCTGATTTAACAGCAGATACATGAAGCTGGATAAGAGCGAGGCGGAAGGCTGATGGCAGAAAAGAAAAAAATTATTCATCAGAATTCCCCCAGGAAACTCTTCCAAATTTGAATTCAGTAACGAGCATTGAAGAAAACAAAGGAGTTAATATATAAACATATGCACAAACCACTACCAACTCATTGTGCAGCCCAGCTCTGGCCCTGGAAACAGTCTCTTACCACAGGGAGAGCACTGAAGGCCAGGACTGGCAATGGGAGCCACCCAGGGCCACCACCCTGCGGAGATCACAGAGCCCAGTGCCAGCAACAGCCAGGCTGTGTTCCAGGGGAAGGAGCTGTGTTACAGAGGGGCAGAGCACAGGTCCCCGCTCCTTCCCAGGCTGCTGGGCACTGTGCCAGCCCATTTTATCTTCTTGTTGCACACCGAGGGCTGGATAATCCCAAAAGCACCAAATAAAGCAATTGTTTCCTTTTATCCCTCAGTTCACACCTAGCTTGGGAAATGGCTATGAAAACCAAGAAAGGTTAACGTATTTCCTGATCATTTCTTAGCAAACGGGTTTCTGGCCAAGTTGCAAGTGTTATCAACTTTCTACTCCCACTAAGGAAGATGTACAACTGCAGGCTCTCCAGGTAGCCAGGCTTTGTGCATACCTCTTGGATTTCCTTCCAATAATCTCTGAGTACCCCAGGTTGTAGGGAAGCACACCCTGAGCAGGTAGAACTGTTTTCTTTAAGCCAAACACCAACCAACCAATCCCCAATCCTCTCTGGCTTTATAAAAAAAAAAGTATCTCAGTTTCATAGCACCTCATCTGTCTGTAAAACTCCCCCATGAACAAAGATCACAACAAGACAAAGCTGGAAGCAACACAGTGATCAGGGAAACTGGAAAAGTTGTTTCAAGTGAAGATGAGACTGGGTCATGAGAAGTTGAGATACATCTTTTTTCCTACTTCTGTAGCTAAGCAGCTAGTTTCTAGAGGTTAAGCAAATTATTAACTGCTCTCTTTGCCATTCTTTGTGTGGGAGACTTTTACTGTTGGCTCTCTTGAGCAAACAAAACTCATTTGGTATTCTGAACAGATGTAACCATAGGTTCCAGACCCACTGAGATAACCATACCAGGGATCTGTCAAAAACTTCCCAGCATTTGTGGAATGTGTTTTAGTTCAGACAAGTTGGCCACTTAAAAGATTTACATTTCAGAGTAAAAGAAAAGAGAAAAAAGGCAATAGGAAAAAACCCCTATGTTTAAAACACCAGGAAATTTAATTAAGGTAATTAATATTATCTTCCTATATATAAATATGACACTATATGCCTCAGGTTTGAAGTTCGATAAGGTGCAAAACTGAAGCTCAGCCACAACAGAACACATGTATTTGTGTCACACTTGACACAGTCAGATGTGGGAACTTCAGAAATGCAGAGAAATGTGCAGCAGGGCTGTAGACAGAGACCTCTGCTCCCAGCCTTGACCAGCTGCCCCAAAGCCTTCGTTAGAAGCAATTCCCAGGAAAAGCCTAAAGCAGGTAAAGGCACAACGGAGTAAAGTAATGGTTCGCATTTGTACCACTGCAAAACACGCTCGCTATTTTGTTTTAGAACGCCGGGAGCGAAGCACGCCCGGTTCGCCGGCGTTTCCCTGCATGGCGAGCGCTCTGTGCCCAGCGCAGCTCCCTCTCCCCGCACTGCCCAGGGGCTGTGCCACCCAGCACCGGGCCTCTCCCGGTCTCAGCGGGCCGGGGCTCCGGGACAGCCCCGCGGGCCCGGGGGCACAGGGACGGGAGAGGGCCCCACTCACAGGCCATGGCTCCGCCGCCGCCCGCGCGCCCGGCGCGTGCGCGGCGCGTGCCCGGCGCGTGCGCGGCGCGTGCCCGGCGCGTGCGCGGCGCGTGCCCGGCGCGTGCGCGGCGCGTGCCCGGCGCGTGCGCGGCGCGTGCCCGGCGCGTGCGCGGCGCGTGCCCGGCGCGTGCGCGGCGCATGCCCGGCTCCGCCCGGCGGCGCGCGCGGCCCGCGCGGGCTGCCGGGACCCGCGGGGCGGCCCGGGCCGGGCTCCAGGGGCGGCCCGGCCCGGGCTCCAGGGCCGCCCTCACGGCCCCCGGCGGCCCGGCGGTGCCGGGACCCGCGGTGCCCTCACGGCCTCCAGCCGGCACCACGCTCTGAGCCCGTTCAGCCCCAAAGCCCCGGCTGTGCCGAGAGCCTCCCTGCCCAACAAACCCCGGCAGCCCTCAGTCTGCTGAGGGCTCAGCGCAAGGGGCCTGTACCAGTTTACACGGAACTCGTTCCCCTGGGACATCCCCGTCTTGCTGTACAAGAACAACACCCCCCATGGTGCAGTCATCTCCAGCAGTGTCCAGCTCTGCGCTCCTCACTGCCAGAAAGACAAAAGAGCTGCCAGAGAGGGTGCAGTGAAGGCTACAGAGATGATCTGGGCTCCGGAGGAGACTGTGGGAGCTGGGCCTGTTCAGTCCAGAGAAGGGAAGGCTGGAAGGGGATGTCATCAGCGCATGTCAACATCTCAAAGGTATTTGTCACTAATGCCAGTGGTGCCCAGTGACAGGACAAGGAGCAATGGCCATACATGAAAACACAGAAAGTGTCACCTCAGCATGAGGAGGAGCTTCCTTGTATTGAGGGTGGCAGGGCACTGAACAGGCTGCCCAGTGAAGTCTCCTTTTCTGGAGACATTCCAAACCCACCTGGGCAAGTTCCTATGTCAGCTGCTCTAGGTGACCCTGCCTTGGCAGGGAACTTGGACCGGATGAGCTCCAGGGGCCCTGTGCAACACTGCCAGTTTAGTGAAACCAACACACTGAGCACCATGCTGCTCTTCTTGGCTTTAAACACCAAAGCTCCCCTTCACTCAGCACAAAACACTGCTGTCTCAGGTACTTATTTTCCAGCCTTGGGTTTTTTAGAAGCATGTGTGTAGAGCTGTAGATTTATGTTGTGTAGCAATATTTCTCCCATAAGATTATGTCTGTAAGCTGAAAGTACGTAACAGCAGAATGGGTAAAGATAAAATGGGTAACCCAGTGTCCTAGGTTAGCTGTATGATGCCTTTATCCCCAATTGTCTGCCCTGTTTATGTTGAATATTAAGTTTTGCACCCTTAAGGCTTGTTCCAGGAGTGAAGGGGGGCGGGGGGGGGCGTGGAAAGAAGTGCAGAGTTTGTTTTCAAGAACTGCACTCCCTCCTCCACATTCCTGCTCCTGGACTGTGCTGTCTGCAGACGGACAGACAGCGAGACAGAGCTCTCCTTTGCTTTTCTAGTTAGCTTTAGCTAGCTGAGGCAAAGAAGTTCCCTGGACTGTGGTGTTTTTCCCTTTCTCTGAACCTGCTCTGGACTGAATACCAGAAGAGCAGCAGCAGCTCTGGGCCTGGGCCGTGGATCAGAGACTGAGTCTATATTCAAAAATATAGACCGTGGTGCATGCAGAATAAAACAAGACCAACATCTCTAGCAAATATAATTTAAAAAGAAATCCTTGAAGCTAAAAGGGACAAGAAGTAGCATACCAACTTCTTTGATTTTTCTTTTCAAAAAATATCACTGCACTACTATAATTAGAATTTCTGCTTAGTAGTACAAGTTTTACAACAAAAATGTACACTGTAAGGCAAAAGTGGCCCTCTGTGGGTAGAGATACACCAGCACCATTGAGATTATTCATAGTTTGGACTGAGCTTTTTAAGGTAAGAGGTCTGTTGATAACTTGCACATTGCCTTAAAATTCACAAATAATTTGCCTCTAAATGGCTTGGATTCTATGTTTCTACAGAGAAGGGATTTAGGAACTGACTTCCTATTGCTTTACTTGCTGTAGATCACACAGGTCTGCTCTATTTGCTGTCCTCATAATGAAGCATACACATTAGCCACATTCCATATTTAAAATACACCTGTTTAACAACCAAATGTCATTTTCACTTTTCCCCTTCCCGACTAGCAGAAATATGTTGTATCTCTGTCAACATTTTCATAATAAAAATATGATGCTGAGAAGTCTAGAATTTATGCAGAGACCTGCGAATTCACTTTGACCTGTGAATGCTCACCCAAAAGTCCTTAATGAAATTAGCTTAAATTCTGAAATACTTTCATTAAGAAGTCACCAGCAGTAGCTCCCTATGATCCATAATCAGCATCTTCCACCCCAAAGATCAAATTCACTTTTATTTACAAAACACCTTTAGGAAAAACTCTGAATTAATTCAGAAAATTTACAGTATGCAACTAAATGCCTTCTGACAGAACAAGTTATGTTCAAATTGTACTGGTTTATTTACAACTGTAGTTTATAAACAGTAGCACAAACATCTTTACATGAAAAAATCTCGTTGCTGAAGTAGGCACAGAGTCAGAGACTCTTGAGGATATTTTCAGGAGGGATTAGGAAGAGGAAAATGTAATACAACAGTTGCTGGGCAAAACTATGAATACAGGAGCATTGGCCCAGGTGCAATTTCATGCAAATATTTTCAACAGTTCAAGTTCTATTGGCATTTACTCAGATACTAAGAAGGAAAAAGAAAGTAATTAGTTCCAGAATTAAGGTGCCCTAGCTTGATTCCTAGTAAAATAACTTAGAATAAATGTGTTTTATAAAGGTCAGTTTAACTTATTTCACCTTCTGATGAAGTACCAAACCATAGGTTTTGATTCAAGTACTCAGAAGATTTCATGCAGCAAAGTTAATCCCCATTATCTTTATTTCAGAGTTTTTGGTGATTTCCCATCAGTCTACAAAGTTGCTCTGCCTTGTCCATAAGAACATTCCTGTGCCGAGCTTTGAACAAGAGAACCATTCTTGAGCAAATTGAAAGCTTATGATGAACAGCCATATAGCTGACATCTCCCAAATCTTTGCTAATTTAGAAATTGTTACTCAAAATAACATAAACAAATGCTTGAATCAGTGAAGGCAACTGGTTAAGAATACATTTATCACAGGTATGCAGCACTGGAATTTCTTGGCTGGTTTTGTGTGCGTTCATCTTGCTGAACACATCTTTAGTCAGCATGTACTCATTTTTGTGCTGAACTGAAGGGTTTTAAACATCTCAAGTTCTTAGTTTGTGAGGAGCAAGGCAACTTGTTTTCAACTGTCATACTCTGTCATGAAACATGCATTTCAATGCACACACTCATCTTTACGAGTGAAACAGCCTCAACCTATGAAATATAAAATTCTGCAGAATTAAAAAAGTCACAACCCTGTAGTAAAAATTACAGTTAATTTCAGTATTTAAAAATAATCTTTACCACCAATTCCAGTTATTTAGTCTAGTAGCTGGTAAGACTTTAAAAACCCTTTAATTTTACAAATTGCTTGTATTTTTTCTATTTCTCTGCAGTCCGAAGTGGACTTAACCGTTTTTAATGTGATAATAGATTTTTAAAATTTGTATCTGCTCTGCTCAAAAACCTAGATTTTAATTAGTCTTTGATACTACCTGGTAGGCAAAGTCAAATTTCTAGACTGTAGGGAATGGAGACATTTTCTTTAGAAGGGATAATAATTTAAAAGCCACTGTGTTTTCAACTGCTTCACTGTATCTCACAGTCCTTCATTTCTTCACTTAATGTGAACCCAACTGCATCTGCTCTTGCAAAGATGCAGATCACTCCAATTAAGGCTGCATTAAAAAGAAACAAACTGACCTTTATAATAAACACTTCTCCAAAACAAACAAACAAAAATTAAAATTAAAAAAACCAAACAAACAAAAATCCTGTCCAGAAATGGATAATAATTTACCCTATCTTAAGCCTGCTACTCAGGCAGTCCCACCAGCAAACAGAAAAATTCTCTTAAGTTAGTACTCAGTTGGGAAACAGTCAGCTTGTGTCCACATACAGTATATCTTGGTTGCTTCTTCTTTATAAACTGGTCTCTACAAAGTCTTTAGTGTTTAACTTTCCAAGGCATCCAATACTTTCATGATCTGTTGTTTTATGGCTTTGGTAGCATCACCTGCATTTGGAATCAAATACCTTAAAAAAATTAGAAAAAGCCATCATTAATTCACTATAAAATTTTTGAGTAAAAATTCCGTAATTCTTTTCATTCTTCCTCTATCTAGAGGGAAGGGAAAAGGGGAATATATTAAAATGAAAAATATAGTAAGGAAATAACATTTAATTCCTGATTATACTATGAAACTTTCTCTTTGTGAACTTAGAATTGTTGAGGAGTACTTTACAGGTCATGGAAAGAAAAACTGGCAATGGGATAGGTCAGGCCATTCAAGATCTCTACAGATAGCACTGACTGAAGCATAGAAGTTCTTGCTTGGATTTTGCTTTGTGGCATTTTGGTTTTTGGTTTTTTAATTCCTATAGATAGCTCTAGATCAATCTGCTCCAGTCTGCAAGGTGGTGATGAAGTAGTTCAACAAGCAGTAAGGTTCCCTGCAAAATTTTAATTAATCCTTGCTGACCTACTACAAACCTAAGGAGCCAATCGGCACAGAACATCCCTAGTTAGGTAGGAAACTCATCTCTCCCCTCTCTTGTGAAGAGAGACCATCCACTGCACACATTTCTCTCCAAGGATGATGAGAAAACATCCAGCTGGTCTCAGCAACCTTCTTAAAACCAAGAACAGCAGGCTACACCAGTGGAAAAAAGCCTGATACACCACTTCATCTGACCCTTTCCCCCTCTTAAGCATGCAAATACTAAGCATGGCAACATGTAACTTCCAGGAATCATGTTTCAGGAATCAGAGTTTTGAGTTCATGCTTCTGGACTCCTTGCACAATGCACAGAGAATTTGAGTCAGATGTCAAAAAAAAAAAAAAATTACTCCACAGAAGAACAACCATACTCCTAAATGCCACTCTTCACAAATGCATACTTTTGCTACAGAGAACTGTCCATTTTTATTTAAGGCCTCTTACAAAAAGAAAACACTTGCACACATCCCATCCCTAACAACATTAACTGCAGTTCCTCTCTTCTGGGTCTCATAAGCACTCATAATTTTACTGGCAAATCTTTTTCCCTAGTTCACGTCTGATTTATGTATTCCTAAATAAAAACTATTATTTTTTGAACTCATTCTGGGAATAACAACATACATTTCCAGTGTACAGCATCCTAGATATCATTACCATTTATACCTCTGTTACTGAGATGGCTTACCTTTCAACTGCCAGAATTTCTATGCCTGAAGTATTGCTATTTCCATACTTAAAGGTGATCAGTTCTGGGTGTTTCTTCTTGGATGTGATTTTGACTACAGAGTTGAGTGCCTGTCGAGACTGTATGTAAGCCAGTCCCTTTCGTGATGGAATCTCCCTCAAACAGTACATATGAGTTGCTGTTACTAGGAGATGACTTGAAGAAAAAGAAAATTACAAATTAGCTTTGTTAATGAATTAAGTATCAGCTATTTAGAAAGTTAAATTCTATGACTAAACTACATGGAGAGAGCTAGATAATACAGCTACCAAATCTAAGAAACAGTTTTAATACTTTCATAATATCTAATGAAGAAAGCTCTAGGAATCACTTCAGAACTTCCTTGAGTGCTGTAGCATGGCCATTTCTGAAAACAAGCATGACATCACCCCCAGCATTTCTGGAGCACAGAGCATGGCAAGTACTTCCACCCCTCTCTCCCCCTTCCATTTTTCTTACTACCTTGTACTTCAAAGCAAAACTTTATACCAGGTTTTATACATAATTACCATACTGTAACACTGCAAATACTAAAATGCAAATTTAATAATGCTTTGTTCTAGTTTGTTTCACACTTTCATTTCCTAGTTTAATATAAAGGATAAGTTAAGTGACCAACACTGTTTTTTAGCATGCATATCAAGACAGATGTTTTCATTGAACTCAGGATTAATTTCAGTACCTGGGAAACATATGTCCATTTTCTTTTACTTCATTACATGGGAAGTTATACTTCACATCAGGTTTATTTATCCACGTTTGGATGTTGACAACCTCTTTTCGATCATCGTCCGACATTGAGGAGCTATCAATTTCATCTGGTTTGAATGGAGGGGGTAAAAATGTTAAAAAAAAGAAAACTTTTCAATTTGCTTAAACTCACTGCAACTACACTGGTTCAAAGGAAGTGTACCTAACCATATAGAATTATTGAGAGGGAAGAAAGAAAAAGGCATAGCTGATGTTTCTCTTCACAAACAAGTATTTTTAGGTCAGGGAGTATCTTAGGCTGGTCCAATTTGTCCATGCAGTAAAGTTTCATGGATTTCTTTCACATTGAAAGTCACTTGTCCAGACTTTCCTTGAAGCCGTATAAACTCTTTGCATTTAAACCACCAATATCTTTTGGCAAGGAGTACCAAAACCAAGCCAACTACAGTCCAGGAGAGTCTCTTCTTGTGGCTTCTAGTTTCTTTTACAAGAAGAAATGAACACTTGTTGATACCTTTCAAGGCCAGGCATTATTTTTGTGGATCATTTTTCCTCCCTTAAAATGCCTCTTTCACATAACAAAACTCACATTCGGCTGTGCCTTTTGTGAAAGCAATATCACATCTTTCCTCACCCTTCTTATTCCCCTCTGAACCTTGTCATGTTCAAATATTGTTTCTGACATCACAGGCAGAAGACAAACAATATATAATGTGTGGGTGAATAATAGATTTCTGAGCATTTAGTTTGCTTTTCTGACTGCTAATGACTGCTTATTTATTATAAACCCACTGTTGCTGGGCACAGCCAAGTCATTCTACTGCCACTGGATCTGAAACTAGAAGTGGTTGGGGTTTTTTTAGCCTTTTTCTTGCATTCAATTAATACTGAATTTCATGTGCTATTTTATTACCCAGTCATTCCAATTAGCAAAAGACTCAGGCTATCCTTACTATCTCAAATAACCTTGGATCATTAGCAAAAATTGTTGTCTTTGGCTTCACATCCTTTTTTAAGGCCATTTAAGAACATATTCCAACCCCAAATTTTCAGCACAGACCTCTGTGAAACATCCAAAACTCCTGCATGTGTTATTACTTAGTTGCAAAATACTGCTTTTATGTCTAAAGATGATGATTATGCTTACATAGTAATTTTGGTGGTACATTAGAAGAATTTAAGCAACCTAGATATCTAACACAATCAACTATATTAGCTCCATACAAATTACTCCCAGAAATAACTCAAGATAGCTCTTTATAGAGCCTTTTCCAAAGCCAATTTCCTACACTTCATTAAACTATTTACTTCAATGCAATTCAGAATTTGAAACACACTTTGGGAAACATTTCACTGAAAAATACATTGTGGAATGGAACAATAATCCACCCTCTGTCACAGAATCACAGAATGGCTGAGGATAGAAGGGATCTCTGGTCCAACCCCCCTGCTCAAGCAGATCCACCTAAAGCAGGCTGCAATAATTACAGCTGATTGTAATTACTTACTACAGAAAAGCCCCATACACTAAAACTTCACAAAACCAATTATTCAGAAACAGGTTCACTTTTTGCATTCTTCTGTATCAAGATTATGTCTATTTCATGTCATATGTGTTGGCTTTCCTTACTCAAATTGCTCTGATTCTGCTTGCTCACCAAGTGCAATAGTGCTTTTAAAAGAAAATATTAAATAGAACTTAGCAAACAACCATTACTGAAAACATGTTCTAGAATATCTGTCTTGGTGCAGCTGGTTTTCTGAAACTACATAGACTTTGCAAAACACTATTATGGATGCTCAAAGAACTGTGCAAACTTCATTACATGGCATTTGGAGAAATAACTTGTTAGTATTAAAGCTTCTGCCTGATAATTTCACTTTGCACCTTCACAATTTTTATTGCAGATGATGATCAACTGTTTGCCATTACTGTTATTTAAACATGTGGCTCTCATTAATCTTCCTGAACTGCTTCTTTTGAGTATCAAAGATTCTCAGACTAGTTACTTGTTTCTCTTTTTTCTAACACAAGCCAAATATGCTCTTTGGTAACAGAAGAGTTATTTGTGAGATGATGACTGGGAGTGGCCTAAAACTACCAGAGCAAAACCAAGGAAACAGTAGGTTGGAACCATTCTAATGTTACAACTGTTCTCAGAGAAACCTTTATGAAATATGTGGTCTTCCAATTTTGCCTGTAGTTTTTCAACTAGATAAAAACTTTAAATAAAAATTGCTTTTTTTTTTCTTACAGCAATCTGCATGCATATCAAGAGATGAATAAATTATTAATAGATTCAGTGCTAAAAAGCCAAGTCTGAAACACTGTGTACACATTAGCCATTTAAAGTCTCGCTCCAGCTATATTTCACAAATTCAGATCATTACACTCACTGACAATACTAGATATTTAAACTAAGATATATCAGCTAAACTAGGGCTTTTAAACTGTGCTTACTGTTGTGAGTAATAAGGTAATAAGTAACAATTGCCAGCTTACAAGTGTAGAAAAAGATCTTTACTTCAGAAATAACAAGTGAAGACAAAAGATCCCCTAAATCTGCTTATTTAAATTTCTTCCTGTTGGCTGTTTGGTGCTTACCACAAATTATTTTTATTTAAACTGCTCCTGTGTATTTGAAGAGAGTCTGTCCTAGGCATTACCATAACATACATGAACAACAATAATAGATAAGTATCATATTGCAAGAAAAAGATATGAGACACTGCTTGATTTAGTCCAACTTTATAATTTTGTATAAATAAGCTAATCTAGGTAAAAGAAAAATTTTCTACTGTACCAGTATCATATTCTTCTTCATCTCCAATGCTGAATACTGGCTTCACACCACGGTAGGGTTTTCCTACTCTGTCACTGCTGCTGACATGTCTGTTGGCAATGAAAAGGACAGGAGAAGATGTGGGACAGGAGAAGAAAAGTAACTTTCAAACTGAAGGTCTGAGTTCCACAGTGACATAATAGCAAAATGTAAACACAGCTGTGCAACAGAGAAGGACAAGAGGCTCTCATGAAGCTGCCTGCAAGGAAGAGTGAGTGACCCATCAAGCAGCTTGGTTAGTGAAAGCACATGGCTCAGTCGCTTTGTGAGGCTGACTGGTGCAACAAAGTGGGAAAAAATGCTGGTTTGTTTTTAAAAAGCCCCAACTTCTGCTCACCTTCTCAAATGGCAACATACGTTAGAGACCTGAAAACTTGACAACATGCTGAGTTTCTAGCACGAAACTAAAATATATCTGGATAGTCAGGGCAACTTCACAAGGATGACAAATTCAGATGAAGCAAAAATCAAAGACTATTAACTAACTATTAACTAAGACTATTAACTATTAACTAATATTAACTAACAGTTCATTTTTCTGGTTAATTCCTCAAAAGATAACAAAATGCCTTAAGAACTACACAGAGGGGCTATTACAAGCCATCTGTGGTAGTATAAACCCTGACTTCCTGTTCATTACTTCCAGCTTGAGTCAAATCTTGAAATATTTGCTCAAACAATTCCTACTGCTACAATCCCGCACCAGTGTGATATTCATGTGATGTCAAAAATCACATTTGAATTGCTTCCACAGATCATATCAAATGACACAAACACACACAACTGAGTCTTTATGTGTGACAGTAAGATTTCAAATCCTGAGATATTTTAAAGCTCTAGCTCAGAATGCTGTGATTACATAGTCAAAGCTGAATTAAAAGCTCTTGCCCTCAACTGTTCAGAATACCTGAAAAATATGAGAAAAACCTGAAAGTTCAGAAAGCAACAATACAGGCAATTTCTGAAAAAAAAACCCAGTTCATAATTTTAGCCTTTAGATCTGGCAACACTTAGCAGTTTTAAAAAACTCAAAACAAAGCCAAAAAACCCGCTTGTCCCTTTTGTCCAGTTCAATAACCTCCTTCCCCATACTGTGTATTTATGTTTCCTACCAAACCTAAGCCTTGGTTCCTGTTTTAAGTACATTCACAAACTCCACTTTAAATGCTACTGTAGAACCAGGCTGGTCAGGGAACAGGTTTAGTAACATGTAAATTAATGCTATTACTTAGGGATACCTGAAAGTAGAATTGAAAGTTAGAAAAGAAAACATTTTGTATGGGTAAAATTTACTAATCTAAACAAAATAAGGAAAAGTTAAAAAAACCAAACAAACAGAAACGTGATCTACAATGGCACAAAAATAAACATACAATAACATGCTCATTAGTGTTTAAGGCAATAAGCATCAATGACACTGACAATTCAAGAGGGCAGTGCTTCCATATGGAGGCTTTTGTAAATATGCTTTAGTAATACAGAACCAATTGAGTAAGAAGCAGCACATTAAAATAATGTCAAATTGAATTATACAGAGAGGATCTAAGAGTAGATCTCACTGGTGTTTTCAACTGTAGTTAGTCAGGACAAGAGTACACAAGAGAGTAAAAAGCTACTTTATAAAAGCCAGGTAACGTCTTAGACTAGGAATTGATTCCTTTTAACCTATTTACATGGAAGGCCACCATTACATGGTTACAAATTGCATGCAATGTCCTTTGGTGGCAAACCTGCCAAATGAAACATCCTGGTGATAAACACAAAGTAGATATAATTGAATTGATACAGAAACAATGCCGTTCTAGGTTTTTTAGAATTGTAAGAAAATACTCTAGGGCTATAAAGTGTGAGCTAATTTATTCTACCCAATGAAAGAAGATCTGCAATAGGAGTGAAAGGAATAAACAAAATCACCAAAGTAAAATCTCAGTGTATCTTGGTTACCAATACAGATTCATGCATTTCTGACTTATCAAAGAATCACCATATATTTAATTTATTTTTCTAACACTTTCTTACCATATTCTAGAAACAGATCAACAAAACATGGAGTATAATCCCTGTGATTTTAAGTATTTCTAATTAACAGAACATACTATGTGCTATTGGGCCATTCCCACTGTTCTTCTACAGAATATTACTACCAATTTTGCTCACACGAACAACACCTTTTTGTGGTGTTTTGGGTGAATCCCAGCTCAAATTATAAACAAACTACTTGAAAGAAAAATTAGTCAAAAATCCTTGAAAACCCACTTAAAAAATTTTCAATAATTTATCTAGTACTAATCTTCAAGCATTTCACTGTGAGTCAAAAGCTACAGAACTCCTGAAGTATAACCAAAGTTCCAAAGTGATTATGCATGAGCTGCTCTTCAATTACCACAAGTAATTTTATAAACACTCAATTCACAATTTTTATTTGTGAAATAAATTATAATAAATAAATATCACCATCACTGTGAGTCAAATGTGAAGGGCCTCCACATTTGCATGAAATGTAATAGTTATGTGAACAAGATGAGGTAGAATTGCAAAGCATATTTACTTATCATTTTTCTTTTCCCAGTAATGAGCATGTCCATTTCTTTCAGAATGAAAGTGATTTTTCTGTCACCAAGTGATAAGATGCGTAAAAATTTTAGACTTCCAACAGAATTTCCATATGAGTTCCCTGTCACATCTAAGTTCTGATTATATTTTATTATGGCTTAAGTAATTAAGTATATTTTATGAAAATATACTTAATTACTTAAGCCATAATTTGTTCAGTAATTGCTCCTGGTGTCTTCTACCACTACAGGTTACTAGTAAAACGTATATAGGAAATGACAGGTTGAAAAAAAAATCCATAAAAAGCAATAGTAAGGAAGAGAACAGAAATAAAAAAAACAGAAACTAAGAGAAGAAAGCACTGCCAATACTTTCTTTTTCTTCCTTTAGTCTCTTGACTAAAAAGCAATAGTTTTAATAAATTTCAAAAAATTAAATTAATATCAAAATATGCAAGCAATCTTGTCAGTGTAACCAATGCTTACAAACATTGTGATGCCATGCTAAATACGAGAAAGGTGGTTTTAGTCAGACTGCTTAATTATCAAGCTTACCGCTCCAGGCTTGCTCTGTCAGGCCAGGAAATATTGAAAGGTATTCTACAGTACATTGAGGCAGAGGACAGAATAAAAGAATTAAAAAAATGTAAATGAAAAACCAAGATAAACAGCTGATATTCCCTATATTGTCAACAGATCTTCTTCAAGAAGGATGCTTGTAAATAAAAACAAGGCTTCATGAAAGCTGGACACAGGGCAAAGAAGTATTTGCAAAAAAATCGACTAAAGGATGCATTCAGTATACTGCCTATGGCGTATGTGTAAGCATGACTTGATTTCACAGAATGGCCTGGCTTGGAAGAGACTCTAAAGACCATCTTGCTCCACGCTCTGCCTGCATGGAACACCTCACACCAAACCACACTGCTTAAAGCTCCTTCAGCCTGGCCTTGAGCACTGCCAGGGATGGGGCAGCCACAGCTTCCCTGGCAACCAGCACCTCACCACCCCCACTGTAAAGAATTTCTTCCTAATATCTAACCTAAATCTACCCTCTTTCCATTTAAATCTTCACATTCATTCAGTTTAGTTCTTCACACAGCAGAAGTTACCAAACACTATTTAAGAATTTTCTGCCTCTAATGGCGAGATAAAAGTAATAATAGTAATTTAGAAAAACATTCTCAAACACAAAAAGAAGGAATGATTTGAGGTAAAAGACTATTAAAAACTACTCTTCATTTGGTACGTATTTTAAATCCAGCTATCGAACAAATGCTAGGTCTCTGGGATTCCTGAATACCAGTGTCCTAGTATTCAACATTGCACCTTCAAAGGCTGGAATTCACAGAACTACAACAAGTTTCATTTAAAGCTGTTATTCTTGTATTTAGTTAAGATAATTATTTGGAATGATCACTTCCAAATTTGAAAGTGTTCCTCAGTCTACTTGCACATTCTCATTCTTTGCTGTACCTGAAGACAAAAACCAAACAACGGTTGATTCCGAGTTTGAAAAGCAGCTTTGAAAAAAATCAAGATCTTTAAAAGAGGTAAACTGAATTTGGCAAGATGTATTAGTGAAAAAAACCAAAACAGAACAAAACCAACCAACCAAAAGAACCTGTCCAGAATCCCACTGTCATTCATCTATTTCATCAGAGTCAGGATGGGGAGGAAATGAAATAAAAGCGAAATCATTGTTCACTTTCAGACTGAACATAGAATTGACACATTATAAGAAGTTAAATTAAATGACAAATTCTAGATTAACATTCAAGGCAGCAGGGACCCACATTAGCCTTCCAATACTAAGGAACACAGTAGGCTCCCTGGGTCATGATAAAATTGTGAGGAGGGTAGGGATGGGAAATGAAAAAACTGAATATGGAAGACAACTTTTTCCTAATTAGCCCTGTTTTCACACTTACAGCCACATGAAATAGGAAGTCACTTCTCCCAGCTAATGCACAGTGAAATATAAATGACGTACCTGTCTACCGGAGTAGATGTATTTTCAATAAAACTGATAACTTTCTCTTTCACATTCACAGATTTAGTCTTCAAAGCAACAGTCATTTTATTCACTAGGGATTTCATTCCTTTCCCATCACCTGAACCGTTAGGAGAATCACCCTGTAAAAGGAACTCATCTCAGGATTAATCACATAAAAGTATGTTATTTCATCTCAATGAATGTATTAAAAGGGAAACAGACTACAAAACAGCAATTTACTTTTTGGTACTCAGTAGAACCTTAATTACACAACTGAGTATTTCTTTAGCGTTCTATCAAATAACAGCAATGATATGTGACTGAAGAAATATCATCCCATAAAGCAAGCTTGATAAACTATATTACTGAGCACTCTGCTATGGACATCTAGACAAAGGAATCCTATTAGTGATACACCACATCTAAATTAAAAGCTAAATTCCACACACAATATATCAGCTGTAGAAAAGATACAGTTTTGAGCTTTGCCATGAAATTGTATGCCACTTTATAGTAACTTATTCCTAGAGTGAGTAAGAGCCAGGGAAAGAGTTGTCTATTACATGTATGCTGCTGGAGAATGACTACAGCAAGTTCTTACCTACAAACTCTTCTCCTTAAGAGGATAAGAATGTTTAGGTCACCTATGACTAGACTGTGATCATAGTTTGAAATTAAACACACAAGTGAAAACAGTCATGACTTGCAATAATGCATTTTATGGAATAGAATGAAGAATGTGAAGAACAAACACATGACACCTAGGGCTCCCATCCCACTGTAACACACAAAAATTTCACTTACATCAACAGAGCTTATGCTATTTCTTGAGCCTGAGGTACTAGCAATCCAGTGGCCATATCCATTTTCTGGTCCTTCCACATTGATATCTGCTAAGTGCTGTTGGAGGGCTGTTAAACGGCCATTAAAAACATTCAGAATTACACTGGACTTAGTCTGTTGATAAAAATATTGTATATACCGAAGACTATAATCAGGAGCAATTTTTTCCCCACAATTCAATCAAATAGATAAATTCAGCAATCACTACAATAATCCCTGGCTTTTCTTTCAGTAATACAAATGCATTAAGATAACCTAATTATCTAATGCCGATTTATCTACCTAATATACTAATTATTTTAGTAAACATTTAGAATAAAGCAGCAACTAAAAATAAATCACTGCTTTGACCTTGAAGACAGCTCTTATAACACCAAACATATGAATTAATTGTATCATTAATAATGTCATATTGTAGCACAGATCTCTCCACTGTTGTAGAGCCTGATTATTTCCAGCAACATCAACTGTAGAATTATGAACCCTGATTTAAGAAATCAAAACAGCAGTTAATAGTAATTATGAAGTTGCATCTTCATATGAATCTGCAATCTACAGTGGTTAAAACATCAAGAATGCTGAGCTGGAAGAGGGAATTTCCCCAATTCCTGCATTAATTTTTCATGACTCAGAAATCTGGGTAAGCCATAAGAGCTAACCACAAATGTGTAAGTGCACAGCCTGTTCTTACACAAAACAAAAACTTGACAAGTGAGATCTAGTTGCTATTCATTTAAATGGTTTTTAGCAAAAGCCTCAAAAATACCAACAGTGTGAAGATACCAAGATTTTTCAAGTCAAATTTCATTATTAATAAGCTTACCCATAAAGCCTCCTTTGGCAATGCTTACGTACTCCTTATTTTTCTGCAACAGAAAAGATAATTCTGATCAGAGCAAAAAACCTGTGGAATGAGTTTGGCAAGTATGATAATGAAACACATTGGTTTGTTTACTAAAAACTTTGAACTCAAGTAATGTAAAAACCAGTTCAGATTTTAAGCAGAAAATGCTTTGCCATTTAGCATCAATGACACAGGCAGACCCCCTTTACTCCAGCTGTTAAATCAATGGCAATTTAGTAGTACCTGTAAGAAGTGTGCTAACACCATGTTCATGTACATATCTTCTTCTTCCCTGCCGCTTCCCATGAAGCAGAGATGTTCCCCACCAGCTATGGAGCCAGACTCAATAGATTGTTTTTGTGCTTCTAACAGAGATTTTACAGACTGTGCAAATTCTGATGGGTTTTGAAGCATCTGTGAAATGAACAAACAAAAAACACTGACACCAAGAAATTGTAACACAATGTGAAAGGAGACAAACTTTGAGAATGGTTACAACTCATTGAGCACAAGCAAGGGAACATCAGCACTGTGCAAGTCACACACAGGGAACCTGACAGAGACCTCATGTTACCTAAAGAACACTGTGAATGGTCCTTTACTTCCTCACCCCATTTGCTCTCCCCAGGAAAGCATTTCTTAGTTTACTCCTGAAGGCATCAAGTAATACAGAAACAAGTCTTTGCAACTTTCATGTTGCATTAATTTCATAGTACCTTGCCACAACCTCCTTCAGATAGTTACAGAAAGCACTAAGGTTGCCCTTCAGCCTCCTTCGCTCTCCTATGTAATTATATTTAATATTATATTTACATATCTGCATATAATACCAAATAATGCATAATTTTAATTAGAGAGGTAAAGATATTAGATGCAGGATTGAACTTAACTAAGGTATACAAGTCTTTTATGATGTATATCCAAATAAATCATTCCATACAGCTTTCACAAACTACTTGAAGTAAAATAGTTGAGGGCTAATCTAGAAGTGATGAATACACTGCTGAAATGGAAGTGATTTTGGGGGGGGAAAAGGACAATTACGACTGAATGTTCAATTAGGAATTCATCATCAAATAGAAAGTACAAAATCTTTATTGAAGTTATTAATTCATAGCATATCTCAGTACCAAAATTAATGCACTTTCTCTTTCATATTGTACAGCAAAAATTTTAGAGAAGCAACCAAATCCTCCTCAAGATACATGCCCTGTAAAAGCAGATTGTAATAAGACTGGCTGAGGCAAAAAAAGAGACAAAAAAATGCTCTTTTTTAAAATTAATTACACCTTTCACTGGAAATTAGGACGCACAAAAGGCTTTTCTCCTCCAAGAAATGTAGTCTTTAGTCTGTATGGGTTTCCATTCCCAACCAAAGAAAGGAAGTCTGGCATCCCAAATTCTAATGTCATTAAGGACTAAACTTCTCAGTAAAATGATAGTTCCACCATCTCCTTTGGAGAAGCTAATTTTTGAAACCTTATCACATAGGTAGACACTGCAGTCCACAGACTGGAGCCTAAATTAAGGATACTTTATTTTTCAAGGTAGGCATTTCTCTCTCCTTCTATCTCAGTTAGAATTCAAATACGAGTAGAGAAACAAAAAGCATACAAACCAAATCTGAGTCTAAATGAAATGCTGTTGATAAATGGCCAGCATTGTATTGCTCTGCAGGACGACAATCCACTACAAAGAATCTCACTCCTTCCTGAAAGAGAAATTTTTACATTTTAAAATTGCATAATTATTGACAGAATTCAATTACATTCTTATACTAATTCCAATACTACAGGAAATGCTCAGAGGGCTTAAGAACTAATAAAAAAGCATCTTACTTCATTTGGTTAATCTGAACTTTCTCTACAGTTACCAGACCACCAGTAGTATTCTAGTATCAGCTTTCCATTAATATATCAGCTTGTGCATGGGAAAGGATCATCCAACTGCAATTATATAATTTCTACTGAGAGGAAGCATAGTGGTATGAGACAATCCAAGAATCCACTACTGATCAGCACAGCACATAAGGATGGATTTATACCCCACCAACTTGGACAGGATACAAACAGATACTTTATTTGGATGAGGAAAAAAACCAAACTATGCATGACAAAACTAGGGCCTGGAAACTGCTTCAAGAAGTCTGTAGTCAATAAGAAACACTGTAAGCTAGCTACATTGTGATCCATGCATGGGTCTTAAATATTTCTGGTGAAGTTCCTGCATCCATGGTTCCAATTCACTTTTACTGAAACAGGTTAAAACAATTTTCTTTTTTTTCATTTAAACCTTTCATTGACAAAAGACAGATACTCCTTAAGTGCATTCTTCTCAAAGGTACTGAATAGTGAGTTTAAAATTTTCCTCTACAGTAGCTACATTTGGTAAGGAATTCAAATTAGTGAGATACTACTTTCAGCTAACACTCCTCAAATTCAAATCAGCTGTCTTAAGCTCCCCTATGTTCCTGTTACAGGACAAATGCTTTGAAGACAGCAGATCATTTACAAGGGAGAAAACCTGAAGACAAAAAAAATATTTTTTCTAAAATAGCAAATACTTTGTGCTGTTAGTATTTAAAACTAGTGGTTAATGATTGATTATTTTCTTTTTCTATAAAACTGGGGAGAAGGTTAATTCAGTATACTGACTCCTTGTTGCTGATTTGCTTGCAGAATCTCAGACACAGAAACTGCTAGACAGAGAGCCTGGCTCAAGTCTGTGTCATCATCTTTGAGGCCCAGCAAGCTGCTGCCAAAAAGACTGTGGTTGTCCTAATAAGGCAAGGAAAAAAAAGATTAAGTGAAGCCATTGTGTTTACGTGTGAAAGTTTAAAATAAAAATATATCCATTGCAAAGATCAAGTTCCACACATGCATATCCAATCCACATAGTAATGAAACTTTTGATCAGCTAAAATTCTTTCTGAAAATCATGGCAAGGCCTGCACTTCTATTACAAACACGCCTGTTCACCACTTTGACCATGCTAACATGATGCAGTGCCTCTGGTATTTGTTTAGTTTTTTTCCCACAAGAAAACCTCCCATACCTGTCTACACACATCAGAGGTAGTACATACAAGCCGAGAGCAAAGGCTATCAAATACTTTTATTTCATCCATTCACTAAGACACCATGAGTAAGGAAGAGCTGCAAAAACAGTGCAGGTGACAATAGATTTATCTATAGTACGAGACTTTTTCCTCTTTACTATTGTAAATACTGCTGTATAGTGTACTACAATGCAATTGTATCAATATGAAGTTTAGCTTAATCAGTTCTTATAAGAACCTCATTTGGAAAATAAGATTATCAGTCATAAAGTGAGAATATTTCAAGGAAGCTTCTCTCACATATCACTTAACCGTAATCTTTCAAAGATCCTAACAGTAAATACCACCAAAGTAACAACACAAAAAAAATGTTTTAAAAAAGAAAATTGCAATGAAATATTCAAAATTGCAATGAAATGTCAGTAGGAGTTTAAATACTCTCCAAAAATAAGAGAATTTCAAAATTACTTTTATTACCTTCCTGAAAGAAGCCGGAGTTTTGCTACAGTAATATTGTGCCAAAGAGAAGAGATCTTCTATGTCCTCTAAATCAAAATTGGCTGGTGATGTTTCTAAGAATTCTGAGACAGACAAACAACATAAATGCAACACTAATTCAGACACAGATCATAAAAGAACTTATTTTTAATAAGGCGTAACAATCTAGTATATTGACTAAACGTGAATATTGATCCACTCTCCAGACAAAAAGTGAAGATACAGGAAATATTCCTTATCCATAGAAAACTTATGCTTTTTGCTAGATGTTTGAACCTTCTATGCAAGTGTTTTTTTTACCAAATTCTTATTTGTGTATAGTTTTAGCTTTCAATTCTAATTCTAAGTCAGCTACTTTTCTAAAGAGCTCTGACCTGTTCTCTGTCCAGGATAACCCAAGGGTGTAGCTCTGCAGTACATGGCAAAGACAAAATTCTAAGCACTCATTTTGAACTACTGGAGATTATTAGTTACATTGTATTATGTATGGAAAAAAAAATACAAAGGCGAGAGTTATTTAAATTTTCCACTGAAACTTAAAGCATTTTCTATAAAAACAATTAACTAGGCTCAAATCAAGTGTGCATGAAGACAATCCAGAAAATGCAACAAGTTCAGTGGATTTAAAAACGGATTTGACAGCAGTTGCTTTGGGCTTAGAAAGACCAGTTTCTGGTGATTGTTTCCAGTATTCAAACTGAAGTATAGAACTAGGTGTGGGAGTACTAAAAGAAATAAGGAAAGAAGGTCAAGGACAGGGCAGCAAAAGAACAGTAAGAAAGAATAAGTGTGTGAAGGGACTTATTAGGAGAAAATTCACATGGAAATAATCTCTTTAGCAACAAAAAACAGTAATGAATGGGGATTGCAGTTTATAGAAAATATTTCACTAGCAGCTATGTAAGAGAAGTACTTACTTATCATTTCTTCTTTATCTGATTCTTGTGCTAAGATAACGTCTCTGAAAACAGTAAAGTCACAGGCATAGATTAAGTCAGTAAAACCAAAATGAAACAAACCTGGGTTAAAGCAGTGTCAGCAAAGCATGTCCCAAAGAATTAACTATACACTTACTTTGCATTGACAAGGATGATCAACATTAAGAAATAAATAAAGAATGGATCTGCTTGTTGTAGATATCCATCCCATATTGCTTGAGTAACTTCAGCAGAACAGTAGTATGAGAAGAGGCTTCCAAGCTAAAAATTTGGAAAATAATGTGAGAAAAAGCAATTACCAGGAACAATCTTATTTACCAGAGATACAAGATATCTAAAAGAAAATAAACTCAATAAAATTATTATAAAACCTACATCTGCACAGTGTACTGAAGGATGGTTCTAACTTCTAAACCAATTTTTATGGAAACAGTGCACAACACTACAGATTATCTTTAAAATTACTGTTATGAAGGCAAAGCTGGCTGTACACTGCCAGCCTTGCAAATTCAACCACAGATAACACAATCAAGCTGGAGTACTGTTTAGCTCACAGCCACTGCTAAATACCAATTATACCAACAAGACAATCATAAGAGAATATATTTACTCAAATAACATAGCAATTAGGGCTTTGAAAGGATCCTGCAAACATAATTATTTTTATTTTCCACAGTAGAATTGAACTAATTGAACATGGTTGTGCATTAGTTTGACAACATCACTTACTTAGCATTACATTATGATGCTTTATGACTGAATAATTAAACATTTGCAAGCATCAGAAATTTTTCATTACCACTTAAGAAACTCTTTGCCTGTTCCCATGCTACCACTTGAAAATAGATCTTCTCTGATATACAAAGTTCAAAGCAGATAAAAGGTAGGAACTTCTTACCACAGATGCCAGATTTACAATCACATCTAACTCAAATGCATACCACCTAACTTCACTGGGGTCTTACTGAACTTGGTGATGCACACAAATTCCACATACATTCACTAATGTATCAACACAGCTATAGCTTTCAAAAGCTTGGTAGCTGTTTTAAAACACCATCATGGAATATTTCAACACTTCCTAGTATAGTTTTATAGCAAAAGATAAAAAAGATAGATTCAATTCTGACTCAAAAGCAACTAAAGACAAAACATCCATGAACAAGATGATGATGTCAGGTCTCTGAATGTTGATTATATATTTCTAAGTATTAGTGATACACCTATACAGACAGATTTTTCACAGAAGAAGCAGAGACTCTTACTGTAATCTCATTATATAAAATGAAACTTAAGATTTTTTTCCTAAAGTTGTACACCAGGAAGCATGGTGTTGAGGACTAGCAGCTATACCAGCTTTCAGAGAGAAGATTCTAATTATGTTCCAAAATTCAAATAAGCAACTTCAAAGAATTTTGTATGTACTAAGGAAAATTCTACTAAAAAATTGAAATTAAGTGACAAAAAAGGATCTGATTTCTCTTTTGAAGGCTCATGAGACTGGCAAAAAGCAGATTTTGAGAATGTGAAAACTTTTCCTAGACACGTTTTTACACTAAAATTGGCAGCAGCTGTAAAAAAGAACAAACAAAAAAAAACCCCCAAAACAGACCTCACAGTTTAATAATTCATTGATTTTCAGTTCTTTAACTGAAAATTCACAGGGTTGAAAAAAAATTTTACATAGCCATTGAGTATAAAAGAAGAACTTAGAAAAGTTAATGGGTCAAAGCCTTCCTATTAAATTACAGACTTTGCCTGTGCAAGCACAGTATCATGATTTTGTATTACATATACTAAGTAGCCTTAATACAAACATTTTGTTGTAGTCCTACTACACACAATTTAATCTGAGGCAGTTTTGAAGAGGAAATGACTAATGCTTCAAAAGTTGTAAAATGTATGTGCCTAAATTCTAAAAGACATACATATATGCCTTAGCAGGGAGGTTTCTAAAACAATTCATACTTCAGCTTTAAAAGACCTGTTAGACTGATGTTTACCCAAATCTACAACATAGAGCTGACCACAATCAAAACTAACATCAGGGTTTCTTGCTATTTGAGTACATCAGCTGCTCTCATTCTTCCTTACGCCAACAAGTTCCTAATATCAGTGGCTCAATAAGGACTCACCCAGCAGAATAAAAGTGTGACATTAACATGACCTCATACCTCATGCTAAACACTAAAGACAAAAACTCCATGCTATATTAAAACAATTTATTTTAATATATGCAGTTCTAATTGCATGTATTACTCTTCCATAAATTGGCAACATGTACTTAAATTTAACAGAAATATATTTTTCATTATGTTTCCCTACTTTCACTTTATTACCCAGTTGAGTGCATATGAATCCGGAGTCATCTTCTTAGTATCAAGAAAGGAGCAGAGCTCAGGCTCATGGTACTGAAGCAACAGTCGAAATAGATGAAAGGGTCTTCCCTTCATAAAACAGTCCCTAAAAAGTAGCAATGAAAACATAAACTCCTCTGTAATATTGCAGCTTTCATACTTATAGTAGCAATTCTTTAGTGTCTGTGATCATGTAATTTCCTGTACATTGCTCTTTTAATTCACAGGGACGGATCATGAAGTCAGTTTCCCTCAAGAGTCAAAAAAACAACCAACCAAATCAAACCAACAAAAAACCCACAAACACTGAAACTCCCACTAAGTTATCAAGGCAGCAGAATGAAATACTGCTTGACACATTATGTAAGTATTTAAAGCAGATTTAAATCTCAAAACAAGTCTAGCACAGTACCAAAGGAGCAGAGATTCTCTGATCTATGGTAAATTGCCTTTCTATGTCTTTCATTCCCCACTGAAGAGAAAAAACCCAGAAACAGTCTACATCTCATTGAAACACCATCTAGATTCCTACAGAGAAGCTCAAATACTCTGCAAGCCTTGTGCAGCTGAAAGCACCAGGGCTGTGTGGCCATATTGCCACTATCCCAAACAGCTCACAGAGCCCAAGAGCGTTTCAGAGCAGAAAGGGACACGAGCTGAGTCAAGTAACAGGACTGATAAATGCTTGTTTCCTGCCACTACAGCAAACGTGCAGTTTTCATATTTTGGGCACATATCCATCAGCCAGGCTGGAATCTCGTCTCCAGGCAATCAGACTAAGATCTTTAATTACTATACAGCCTTGCTGAAGCATCATGGTGCTCTAACATACATAAAAACTTTAGTGAGAGTACCTACATAACAACATGAAAAGGTCAAATTTGTATTTGTAATTAAAAATACCTAGAAACCTAAAAAAAAATTCAGTCCCAACTCAATAGAACATAGGGAAAATATCAACTACTTTTAAAGAGATTTTGTGACTTAATTAGTGCTTATGAATTACTGTTTCTGAAGGGATAGAAGTATTTTAGATATAAAAATGCTAGGAAAGGAAATAAAAAACCACTTTCACACAACCTATGTGAATTAGTTCATACAAAATGCTTTTGATATTGCATGAAAGGATAGCTCTTTAAAAGGCATATTGAATCTAGATCAGTCACATCAGTCAGCTAACTCTTTGTATCTTAAATCAACTCCATCATCTCCTGGTTTTCAAATCAACAGGTGCTGAAATTTATGATCATATGAAAGAATCTGACAACATGGCTAGGAACAGTGCTACTCTAGCCAAAACCAGCATGCATATCTTTCAGAGAATACTTCTATTGCCAATTACATATGGAAAATGAAGAGTTTTACCTTGGAATGAATTTATTCATGATAGCATAGAAGCAGTTGTACAAATCACTGCGGGGCAAATGAAGGTGCACCAGAGGTTTGAGCAGATGTATCCAGCCGAGGCAAGAACTGTATTTAACATTGCGTGATTTACAATAAAAGGTAATAACAGACTCAATATCCAAAGTTAATACTGACTTCTCTTCTTCTGGCACTGACAGCTGGTCTGAAATAGGCACAGTGATATAAACTGTGTTAAAGGCTTTTCAAAGAAATTGGATGAGATTATTTCATAGCAAAACTGCACCAATAGGAACTGACTGGGGAAAAAGCTCAAGAAAACCAGCCAAACAAAAAGCTGGCTATTTGGATTAAATTCTTACAGAATGGCATTAAAAAGGGTATCAGAATACAAGTGATTTTATAAAACCAGTAGGATAAGACATTTAAATATAATTTAAATAACATAACAACATCCGAAAAGAAGTTTGTGGGTTCCAGGATCTATATAAAAGAAAGAGGTAGATTCTTCCAATGCACAGAATGCTCCTCTTCTACTCCTATTTGGTGTGCTCAGCACACAACTTAGGATCAACTCTACAACAAATTCATTTCAATTTTAACACAGATCAACCCACAATGCATACCTTCAATTCCTCAAAAGCTGACTGACATGTAAATTTATCCAAATCAGAAGTTTGAGATCAGCTACGCTTACAGACTTAAATTTTAGCATTAACTTATAAATAACATTTTTTTATGTCCAGGATGGGGGAAAGAGAGCTGTACACACTACAGTAACATAGTGGCATTAAATTTCTAGGACACATCTTTCCCTCTCAGTAACAAGACCATGAGTGTCATTACTGTTAGTAAATTTTTTTATTACACAAATACTTTCCCATCAAGAATACTGACAAGCCAGTCGACATTTGGCATTTCTTTTCTGTACCTCTCAGAAAAATGAAATCGTCCATAAAACTCATATGCCAAGTGAAGATATACTTAAAATTTGCAGACTAATTGCTAAAACATTGAAATAGAGACATTTAATTCAACAAAAAATTGAAGTCCCCATATAACCTTCTTTCTGAAGTAACTTTACATTTGTTCCCTTTATCAGTTTAAATCCTTACATATCACAAAATATTTACCAATAAATACAAAAAGAGAACTATCAGACACTGAAATGCTTAATTTTGTATGTTATGGATATAATCAGGACATTTTGCATCTTCCTGAAGAGAGACTATGATTAAATAAGAGAGTGTAAATTCCACCTCCATCTCTTTCCTTTACAGGACAGAGAGAAGGAAAATAACTCCTACTAGATTTCAGGGCTAGAAAGTGTAGAACTGCATTTCAGAAATGGCAGGTATGTATGCATGCACCAGCCCATCTTCTGCCCTAAATTTCAATTGCACAAGAATAAATAAAGTGATAGGCAATAAAATGGAAGATTCCCTTATTGAAGTCATGAGACGTATCCTGATTTATGAGTCAGCATTGATTCCATCAAGTGCTCACTGATGCTGTTGCATCATGCCAGGGGTTTGACCAATTCTCTGATGAGCTGCCAAGCAGATCCAGTTGCAGCTCTCTGCAAACAGACCAGATTATTATTTCCTTTGTCCTGGCAGCTCCTTGCTTGCACAAACACAGCCTTTGATTTTTGCTGAAAATGCTATTAACAGTAATCTTTCTTTAAAATACTTTTTGAAGTCTAAAATGTTTAATATATTTTTTCTCTCAAATGCTATATGTATTTTCATGCTACAACAGGTTTTCAGATTAAGAACCAGACCTTCCACAATTAAAAACTTGAAGGACACTAAATAAAGAATGTCTCCTTTAAAAGATGGATCTTAGAAAACAATTACCATTTTTTCATCTCACAAAGCTTTCTGACTATGCAAACTATAATTTACAAACTAATACTTTGAACTCCCATGATGTCACCCTCCCAGAGTCTGTGTACAGGTAAGATACTATTGTTTTCTTACAGTTTCTTACTGATTTTTATCTGGTCTTTCATCTTCTTCCTCAAAGCTTCCTCCAAAATGTAAACAACATTCAGAAAATTTAATTGAAACAAAGTCTTAAGACAACTGAGAATACAGAAGTTTTCAAACTGAGGATCTAAATGTAACAGAACTTACCAATCAGCTCTTGGCAATCCTTATGAATTATACTCTGCTCAGGTAGGTCTAAGGAGCCATCCCAGGATGCTAGGCTGTCCCCCTTTCCTACAACATTAAGTGCAATCTGAAAAAAATAAAAAGCCCTCTAAACATTTTAGTGTCTTTTTGCAGTAGTTCAATTACTGAACTCAGTAATAAAAAAGTAAAATAAAATAAAAAAATAAAAAAAAAAAACAACTAAAAAACAAAACTATTCTTAAACTGAATCAACATAGATGCATATTAAAATTCCAGTACTACATCTCTCCTGTAGAGATCCCTGGCAATTAAATCTTTTACCTCAAATGAAATATAACTTCAGGTATTTCCTGCTTCTTGATTTAAGCTCATATTTACCTTCCAGACTTTGGCCCTTAGATCAGCAGGCAACTGCCTTCCTTGAATGATGTTTCTCACAGTTTCAAGATCACAACCTCCTTCTTCTAGAGCATCTGCAAGATCTTTTATCCTAAAATAATGAAATGTAATTTAAAAAAACAATTATACTATTTTCAATGTTTATATAGACTGAAGGCTACTGTCAGGCAAATCCCACACATAAGCAAAGGTATAAGACAACTTGGAAATTACTAAAAATAAATATTTGCAAAATGTTATTTATTCCTCTACTTTAATGCTGCTCGTTCAACTTGTAATTCCATTCAACTTACATACAAGAAAAAAGAAGTTTGCTTGTTTGTTTTCATTAAGTGACAAGACTGCAAAATGAATCATAAAAATGCAAATTTAGTTGCAGTTTACAACATTCAGCAAATTTCAATTTCAGCAAGTTTTCACACACCAGGCAAATATTACACCTAAATTAGATGGTGGAGTTATTTTAAATAAAATATTAGATGTCCTAGAAAACAGAACACTTATTTCAGAGGTTTAGAATAGTAAGCTTTTAATCTCACCTTCCCTGAAATGGGAAAAGACTTTTTAGTCAAACTCAAATTTATTTAACTATACAGTTGTAGCATTTCAAGTGTGGATATATGCACAAATCTGAATTAACATACGCAAAAACGTTAATATTATAGAGAGTAGAAAAATACAAATACAAGACAAACCCTAATGACGATTGCTGTAGTAAGACAACAAAAGTTCACAAGCATTATAGATAAGAAGGAATTCAGCATTCAGGAATGATTACTTTACAATCTCTCTGACAGCTTCTGCAGACTGGTTCAATGTTTCCATGCTGTCAGTAATGGGAGAATCACATCTGATGATTTCAGGATTTCAATATCACGTAGCAGAGCAGTGGCAAAACAGGTTCACTGGAAAAATAGCAATGGCAGTGACACATAGGTCCCGTAGGCAAAACTTCTCCCTTGCTATATGCTCTTAATTCTTCTCTACTTGCTCTGACATCTGCATTAAGACTTTGCTTCAGATACCTGGTACATTAAACACACATCCAGGGGGTTTGTAGCAAGAGCAAAACAAAGAACAGGATTGTCTTCCAGGATAGAAAATCATGTGGGAAGATGTATTCCTGGTGAATGACGCATCTGTTTATACACACAGAGTAACAGATGTTAAAGTGTTATCAGGATAATTGTCAATTACTCCATGACTACTATGCAGTCAATTCAAATAGCCACAAAAAAAAAAAAAAAATTTAAATAAAAAAAAAAAAAAAAAAAAAAAAAAAGTCAGCTGTTGAACTCTGTCTACTTTAACTTCCATATATTCACAACTAACTCCTTGATATAAAAGTTCACAAGTTTGGTCTCCTGAAAACTTCAAACACACATTTCTGATTTTCTAAATAATATCCTTTATGACGAAAATATTAAAATCTCAGACATGGAAGAAGGTATGCAAATATTCAGCTAGCTTTACTCAAGAGTTCTCAAAGTATTTACAGGTCTGAAGAGTAAGCATTTTCTTTGCATTGCATCAGCCAGTTTCTTTGTCACTATGTTTTGGTCTGCATTTTAAATCATATTTCTAATATACACTGGGGCACAACTCAATTTTTTTCAAGTAGTTTTGCAAATCTGGATGAAAGAAAGCATAGATTACAAAGAGAATGACTTGCCTTATTCTCTCACACTTTAAGAAAAAAAAAAAGAAAGAAAAAAAACAGAAAAAGAGAAAAAACCCAAATCTGTTTTGTATGGGGCTACAGGTTGCACAGGTTGCCAATCCCTTTCCTGAGACAGAAACAGAGGGGAAGCAGAGTATGAATGCATACTTGCACTTCAATCACCTATCCTGTTGCCCAGTTGTGCACATAATGTTCAATGCCTGAAAAGTTAAATGAATGGATCAGTTAGCCTTGAATAAAAATCAAGTATTTCCAGGACATTTACACAGAGTCCTCCTAACTCTCAGCAGAACTGCATGAACTTGAGGATGATCTAGCTTCCACAGAAGCCAACATCAAGCAGCAGCTGGAGAGAATGAGTTGCTCTTAGACACATTGCACATTTCTGTGAACACTGTGTACAAAAACAGACTAGAGAACAACAGCCAGGTCTTGAACTACAACTAGTTGCTACAATTACATCCAAGTATTAAACAGGTATGTTGAAATGAACGCAACAGCTGCCTACACGGTCCATTTCAAGCAGAAAGGTCTTAAATTGTAATACTTTAACTTTGTTTCTGTGCCACCCAAAGAAAGTCTTTTGAGAATAAAAAAGTAATTTTTACTTGAAAATTCAAAATTACATCTACACTACTTACAGAATCACCTGGCAAAGTTTCACAAATCCACAAGTACATATTCTACCTGTTACTAGTATCCAGCATACAAGAAGCTGTGCATGTAACACCAACTTCAACATGTTATCTGCAAATGTGTCTTCTGCTGCTTGACAATGTATTACCATTTGGAAAAACTTCTTCCAAGTGCTGTCACCCCCACTTTCTACACTGTAAAGATGAGAGGCAAATGCCAGCTTTACTACTTCACCTCACAAAGCAAGACACTGACATGCCCATCTGCCACGTGAAGAGATGAGATGTATTACCAACTAGGAGTTAAGTGAAATAACGGCACAGGGGAAAAATGCTCTGCTCTGCTGTGATTAAATTAGGTGCTCATTTCCATCATCAACTGCAAGACTGCTCACAGGCTGTAAGTCAGGACTTCTCAAAGATAAGTAAATTATTTTCTAATAAACTTTCTATTCAGGCTAACTTGCAAAGTATAAAACGTGAAAGTGATTTCAATACTTTAACACATGTCCACTTGCTGTGTTTTACCTTATTTCTGTCAGTTGTTCTATAAATATTCCACTGAACTGCTAGCAATCTGGATTCTTGTCTTTCATGAGTGAAGAGCAGCTAGGAAATCTTCTGTTCACATGGACAATTATTACACTTATTTTGAACAGAAAGCAGCACTTCTTCCTGTATGAAAACTCGTCCAGACCTGAACACCTGTACTTTCTGCTCTGACATGGCTTCACTGCCTGCCCCTAGGTGCTACTCAAAATTTTGGTTAGATGCATGGAATTCCAGCCTACACCCAAGCCACGGCCTGAAAGGTAAATTCCCGTATAATATACTGTTCAAAATGTCATAATACAAAATGCTCCTATTAATGCATCTGCAGTAAATTTCCATACTTTCAGAAGAATCTCTTGCATTCATGCTGGTCTGGTGACATATTATAATCAATAGGCTGTCTTCACAGACATTAAACAGGACCTTTTTTAACTTAAGATGTGTAAGCTGGTGGTAAGAAAAACTGATAAAACTGTTGGGAATTCAGCTTGGAATTCCCAAGTATTATTTATATACAACGGAGATACTTGGTAATTATCACTCATAAATACTAGAGAAGGGATTAAAAGGGTAGGAATGTGAACAGCAGGAAAAAGATAATAGTAATTGATCAATAAACTACATAAAGTGTTAAGAATACTACAATCAATTACATACTTTTACAGAAGGTATTACTACGGTTTCTACTTTTAATTCAGGATTTTCCTGACTCCCAGGAAAAAGCCTCAACAAGAGCTATATTGAATTGAAATTAATGAGTGTTTGTTCTCTACTGAAAACAAACAAAAAATCAATCCCTCACATTTGCTTCAAAATATCCATTGTATCCAGCACACCACTGAACCATCATTTATTCTCCAACAGAATTCTGCAGAAAAACAATTCCCTGACATTTTTTCTTCAATTTCATGGTTAACTGGAAAGGACTTTTCTGTTCATGGACTTTCAGAAGAAATACTATGGCTCCAAGTATTAATTAGCCAGACTGTGAGAATGTGAAAGATATATGGAAACTACATTTGTCACCCTGTTGTCTTAGGGCGTTGCAGTGCATTTCGGGACCTGTAAAATGAGTTCCAATGCAAAGTTAAATATACAGGAACAATTCCATCTGTGGTTACAGTTATATTTAGTTACTTCAGGTCCTGATTTCCCAAGTACAGATCTTAAAAATTACTAATTGATCAAGCTTGAGGATTAAATAAACATCTGCAAAGAGGTTTTACAAATTAATTCATAACCATTAATCTGTTTCAAAATCCAAAAAGAAAAACAAGGTCCAAACCATTGATTTCTTTGATAAATGAGGCGAGAAAAATCAATAACTTCCAACTACAAACATTTTAACTAATAACAAGCCATCTTATTTGTGTCTATACAGTTGACTGACTAGATGTATTGCATTGACAGAAATTATGTTTAAAATAATCAAATAAGCAGACAAAAAAAAAATATTTTACAGCAGTTTGAAAGCAGCCTGCCTCCTTTGTGTTTCACAGCATTCTTAGCTTTGGACAGATATGTCTTCCAGAACAAAATAGTGCCAGCAATTTCTCAAATTAGCTTTTGAGTATATGCCAAATAGCACAAAAGAAACATTTAGCAAACAAGGTCTAACTGATTTTGCTAATTTTTAAACCTAAAGTGTTGATAACTATATTTACTGAAGGGAACAAACCTACACTCTCATCTTTCTCTATACATGCGTTTGGGGTGGTGGTGATGCTGGGTTTTCTTTTTAATTTTTTTTGTGCAGTGGCAGAGTTCCCGGATTTTTGTTGAGCAAAACACCAAGCAGTCAGTACAGATGTTGAGGGGTTTAATTCATAATTACTTTGTGACACTTTCCCTCCACCCAAATCACTTATACTAGCACCACATGACAACTTGACACAGAGAAAACAAACAGGGAATTTTATGTTAGTGAGCACATCTGGATTCTACACTCTCAGTTTGCTGCAACAGCCTCTGAGCACAAAACTCCATCTGCCTTTTAATCCTCCTAAGGAAGTGAAGAGAGGACACGGGATCAGCACTGCCAGTTTTGCACCCAGTAGAGCTCAGACATACATATTTATCATTATATGTTTGGTATTTTTAAAATTTGAAATCTTATATACTTCAAAATATGATAGTGTAATAATTTATATCAAAAAGCTCTTTCAACAACAACTGTTCACAGCATTGAAATATGAATACAAGACAACGCTTTAAATCCATAAATGAAAAAGTCAATATTCCACTGAAACTGGTTTTTAAACAAAAACCAAAAACAGGAAAACAAACCCAAAACCCAAACACACATGAAGTTTCTAAGCAAGTAATAAGGAATGCAATTTTGTCATTCACAACATACACCTCTACTAACAGGATGCACCGTCACATAATAATATAGCATTTAAGCATAAAACTCTATAATTGTTCCCATAAAGACTTAAATCTGTTTTAACAAATGCCTTCAAGTTTGCATTTTCTAGTACCATCAGCATATAGAATTGACTATAGTTTTGAAGCTGCCAATTAGAATACCAACAATGCAGGCTGTGCCCTGAAACCTGTCTGGAAACACACTCATCCTCATCTTTAAAACAGCTTCTAGAGAAGTTGATTGTGGTGTGGAAGACAGCAATATTATTCCAATATCAGTAATGGAAGTAATCTGAAGTATTTTTTCAGAGGTATTTAAGGTTCTTATTCAATGTCCAGGGTTATATTTCAAAGTGTCAAGAGTGCACTGTCAGGGAGTCCATCCCTCACTTTGTAATTAAATGGCCCAACAGTCAGGTCTTTATTTAGAAATAATGCTTATGAAATACTGTGCTTATAGAAAGAGCTTCATAAATTTTGAGGCTGTAACTAAAAGAAAAAACACAAGAATAAAAAATTACACCAACTAACTTTCTTTTTCAACTTAATGATACTAAGTTGTTTTAACCAAAAGTTGTGTTTGTAGAACCAAATTAGACAAAGAAGAATTCCACCCACACCTGTGTATTCTGGCTTCTTTACAGTGAGATAACTAAGCAAAAAGATAGCTAGGCTCAGTCTGCAGGAAACTTTGGATCTGCCACATCACATACAGCCTAAAAGCAAAAACAGCTTGGAAATGATTGGAACTCAGATTGGAAACTATCACAAAAATCAGGTCTGTAAAGTAATTGCGTGGAAAGTATATACGTGGAAAGGACAAAGAGCACTGGTGTGGCACAGAGCCACAGAAAGAAATCACATGCAATGCAGAAGCGCAAAGACAAAAACAAAGTGAAGACACAAACGGAGATATTTGGTGCAGTAAGAATAGCTTCAGTGTTTAAACACAATGTTTATTTAAGCCTCGGCAATCTTGAGTGAATACGCATGCAACAAATACTAAAATCACATCACTGTTACCATCAAAATGATCCTATACACGCTCCAGAAATAGTCTCTATTCTTGTCCTAGGGGTTCAACGTAAAATCCATTATAAGTGATAGCTGTGCTGAAGGAAGGTGGTGAGCAAAATCGTTCAGACAACGAGGCAGGACCCACTGCTATCACCTGTTCCTGAGAGCAGGAATGCAGCGAAAGGGGAAGCTGAACTGAACAAAGCAGCTCCAGGCAGACTCCTGGAGCAGCTCCTACCGCATATTAAAGCTGTCATTTTAAACTGGAGCGTCCGCCAGTCTCCAGGCTGGCCATGGCCCTCGTTTTGTGTCTCGCCCGTGTTTTGACGGGCCCCTTCGTCTCTGGGGACCCGGAGCCGCCGAGCGCCGGCTGCGTTTGCGGGGGGCTCCGGGCGGGCTCCCGGCGCGACCCGCACACGGCCCGAGCGCTGCGGGTCCCGCGGGAGAGCGGCGGCGAGCGGGGCGCTCCGGCCCCTCTCCGCTGGTCCCTGCTGCGGAGGGCAGCGCGGACCCACATGCCCAGAACTCACCAGCTGCCCGGCGGCGGCGGCGCCTCCTCTCCCTCCGCCATAGCGGCTGACGTGCCCGCCCGCCCGGCCGTAAAGCGCGCTCGGCAGGCGCTTCCTGCCCGCGGCCCTCCGCCCGGAGCCCGGCCCCTTCCCGCCGCCGTCCCCGCCTGCCCGGCCGCCGTCCCCGCCTCCCCGGCCCCTCTCCCCGCCTGCCCGGCCCCTCTCCCCGCCTCCCCGGCCGCTCTCCCCGGCCCCTCTGCCCGCCTCCCCGCCGCCGTCCCGCCTCCCCGCAGGCCGGGCAGAGCGCGCGGGCCGCAAAGCGCGGCAGGAGCAGCCGCTGAGGGAGCGGCGCGCGCGGTCCTGCCGCAGGGCAGGGGGGCCGCTCTGCCGGACATAGGAATGTTTTCGGTTTTCAGAAAGCTGCGCTGCTCTGCCAGATGTGGGTTTGGTTTCCAAGTGGCTTCCCCCAAAGTCTTTAATGTGCCACGGGTCGGACGTACTCCGCGAGTGCGGAAATTCACAAGTTTCAGTCCAGTTTCCAAGGGCTGAAAATCGCGTGGTGACGTCCATTAGCAGCTCTGGGTAGAACAACACTAAGGATCTCCGTCATGCACGTTCCTTACCCACCTGCATCCTCAAAGGGGAAAAATAGGATACTTAATGAAGTTGAGAGAAAAATCATTGGAGCGGTTTATACGCGGAATAAGAGTGCCGCCTTAGGGGAAATGCCAGTGCTTAGGCGGGTTTCAGCTCCACGTGGGCTCGGGATGCGCTGCAGCGGCCGAGAGCGGGACGGTCCTGCGGGCCAGGCGCGCTCGCCCTGCGGGCTCCGCAGCCGGGAGCGCCCGTTCCGAGCAACGCGCACCCTCCGCAGGCACCGGCTGCTCCTCGGAAAAGACTGCGTGAGCTACCCCGACCAGGAAAATAGGTATTTTACAGCATGAAACCGGGTTGAGGCAATTAAGCTGTGAAGAAGGGGGGAACAGTTTAAATTACTTTTCTCTTTCTCTCTCTTCTGTTTTTTCCACTAGAAAAGAAAAGGAAGCCGCAGCACGCACGTCCAGGCGTTTCCCTCCCGAGGAGCGGGGCGGCGCAGGGCGCAGGCGCGGCGCGGGCGGCATGGGCGACGCGCTGGAGGAGCCGTGGTGGGACCGCGACCGGGACCGGGACCGCGACCGGGACCGCGGCGCGCCAGGTACCCCTCCCGCAGCCCGCTCCTCTCGCCGCGATGGGGGCACTCTGCCCGACAGACAGCCCCCACCCTTCTTTCCTCTCCCCCTTCCTTTACGTTGGATCTTGGGGGTTCTTTCCTCTTCCCCTCTCCGCCTTTCCTTTCTCTGCTTTTAATTTGCTTCTCCAGGTTTTGCACTCTCACTTGCTTTCCCCCTGTGTCTGCTTTTCCCTGCTTGCTACCGAGGGCGGGTTTGCTTGTAAGCAGAATCTCTGCAGCGAGGTGATGTCCAGTGTCTGATCTGGGCCCTTGGATAGACGATGGAGCGGCAAACGAAAATACCAGTACCTAGGTAACAACAGGAACCCACTTAACAAAAATACATTTACGCGAAGTTTGAAAAGCGGGTCGAGGGGAATGGGAAAACCTCTTGCTTTGAATTCAGAGCTCAGCTCTCCCTTGCATTCATTTACCTTCCAAACTGTATTTTCTCCCCAAGAGTGTATTTGATAAAAGGCTTTTGCATAATGGATGATCCTTGTGGGTCCCTTCCACCTCCGACTATCCTGTGATTCTGTTTGCCATTTACCAGCATGAACTTACTTGCAGTTCTCTAAGGCCTAGGAAAGGGCAAATCCACGGTAGAGCCTTGGAGGGAAAAGTATCTGTGGTACTTGAAAAGCATCCCGTGTGCTCACTGGGTGCATCGCATCACCCTTGCCGTGTGTTACTGTAAAAGGGCAGTTCAGGTTCTCTCCAGCAACTGCTCCTTGGAGAATGGTGCTGTGACTGATTCGTCTTTTCTTTCCTGGCGGTTATGATACCTGGCTCATACACTTGTATTCTTTCAATGTGTCTTGAAACCACAAGTTGTTAAACGTTTTCTCTGTATTCCTTGCATTTAGTGTGAAAATTTTGGTAGATCTGGGCAATTAAAATGACTGTAGACTTTATAATGCCCTATTTTATTTATTGTTTTTTAAATTTCTTTTTTAATACAATATTGGCAAGAGTTGGGCATTACTGGGAATTATCTGCACCTTTTCAAAAACTCAGGTGTTTTGAGTGTCTTGATAATTGGTGCTTATTTCCTGTGAAAAGGTACTTGGAGAATAGTTAGAGAAGAAGTGCTATAAAAGTTGTATGTGTGTACTAAAGACGGCTCACAAGACCTAATTAGGTTTCTGAGCATTTAATTTTTATTTTTAGTCTCCTGTGGGTTCCTTGAGCAGTCCAGTTCCCATGGTAAATGCTTTTCATTAGGCTTCTTAAGAGCCTCCTGCACATTCTGCCACCACAGCTTTCATTTTGGGTACATGGTTAGCTACTGTTATAGTGTTGTCAGCTTTCCTTTAGAAACTGGATGCGGAGCAGGACTGTGATTAGAAACTTTTGATGAGAGGGATGAACCATCTGACTTTGAGGTGAGTCTGTGAATGGCAACTTTTCCAGTTATGAAAAACTCCTTGGGATTTTCACAATAGCAGTTTTGAGTTACTAAAAGAATTCACGTGGAAAATAACCTCGGGAGGTGCCTAAGCCAATCCTGTATACTTTACTCCAAGAACATTCTTTGTGTTATGAGTAGTGATTACTAGTAGGTGAGTGTTGTGCAAACGAGGTACTCTGCTGTCTGCAGCCCACCTTTGTAAACTTGTTGGCAAGCTCTTTTTATGGAGCCTGTTGTTGGATGAAGTTGACATGAACTAGCAGTAAACATAAAACATCTGTTACTTTTATTTTCTGTAGCTATTTTTCACATAAAACGGGTAAAATCAAGGGTTAATTTGTACAGCATCTTATTGATACTGTAAAATGCTTTAAAATTAGTTGGCATAAAAGAGGAAATCAGGGTTCACAATGTATGATGTAGGCAGCTATACAAGAAAATAATTGCACATTAGTGAGCACCTTTGAAAGACTTGGTCAACTTCATTTCTGTGAAACATGATGTTTTGTTAAAAAAATACTATCCAACCTCATTTGCTGACCTATTTAAAAATAACATCTCTGCCATGAGTGCAGGTGCAAAGCAGAATTCAAATGTACTTTTGAAATAATGATCTTTTGCCTTTGAGATCATTTAAAATTAACCTTAGAATAAGCTCTGACCCACATAATATTCATCAGAATTCGGCTCTCAAAAGTGTTTTAGATTTTAGCCACTTTTAAAATGAGCGTGAACATCATTCATACACTCCACCTAAAGAGTATGAAAACACAAAATATATGTAAATGTATTTCCTAGTGTATGGATATGTAATTCTAAATTTGCTTTTGGCCATATAATTGGAAATCATTATTTTAGAGTCCATATTAAAAATTAAAGGTAATTACTCTCACTTAAAGATGTGAATGTTTACCCTCTTGCAAGTCATTTATAGGTGTAAAAAAAGCCCACAAAAAAGACCCATCTTTGTATCTTGTCACATGACAAAAACTAAAGAATTCTACTTAATAATCTTCAGCAAACCTTTGAGATGAGATTTGTGGAGGGAGCTCTTAGGGATTATTCACTTAGCAGCGTAGTTTAATGTTACACGTGTCCCACGTCATGCAACTGCAGGACTTCCTTACCTTCCTTTTTCCAGTTTGTGTAACATCTCTGTCCAGTTTTTCACGAGATTTTTATATTGCATTCACAATTGCAAGGGAAAGAAGGAATTCGGAGGAGTTTATTTTGTACTGGTGAAGGACACCAACTTTCTCCTCTTCCCTCCGTGAACAGAAAGGAGCAATTCTCACAGCACTGTAAATGTCTGCATCTTGCCTGTAGCCAGTGTGCCTCATCTCCCAGTCAGTTTGAGGGAGAGGGATGGACTTCTATTTTTCACAAATTCTTCGTTTCCTCCTTGTTAGTTACCACTCCTTGACTTTCATTTTCCATGCTTTCTGTGTTGCCCTTAATCCCGTAGGAGTGTACTATCCCCATTTGTCAGTTTTAGAGCCTTAACAGGATCCACCTGTGAGGGCATGGCCCTCGTAGATAGAAATTAATTGTGTCATTGCAAGATAGGAGCAAAACTCTTGTAGGTCAGCAGCAAAAATAGGTGAGAAGTGTAATATGGGACTGCAGAGGATGAGTTGGCAGTGCTTGTGGGGTTCTGTGTAGGCTCTAAAGTAAAGGATGCTATTGCAGGAGTTCTTTTGCAGGAATTCTTTCTCTTCTTTCTTCGTAGTGAAGGGTGCAAGTTAACATCAATTTGTAGTGTGTGATTTGCAGCTGTTGAGAAGCAGACTCTTCATTGTAGTGCATTCAGTGGGAGCACTGTTGCTTGATCAGAACTGAGGTGTGTTGCTGGACTCTGTATGAAGAGGTTTGTAACTTTTTTTTGGCTCACCAGAGACTTGCTGTTCCTTGTAATAGAACTTGGTCAGTACTTGAAGATCTTTCTGATAAGCATGCCAAGCTGATGGCTGCTTTTTGAAATCTGTGTTTCTTCACATCAATGTACATTCATTCTGCAGGTTGCAGTGGTGTACTTCTGTGAGCTGTGTTGGGATCTGAGCACACATGATATGGACTCTGAGAAACAGCTGCAGATTTAGTGAATAAAACAGGAAGCCTTTTCTTTTTACTGTGGCAAAGTCATTCTTTAATGTCTGCATATTAGTACAGGTGTGTCTCGTAGGACACAGCTGAAGTACTTGATGGACACAGCTGAAGTACTTTTTCAATCAACTGGTCTTCTAAAACTTACTTGTAAGTACTTCTAGAGAATTTCTTGTGATTCTGTTGTGGAAGGCATAGGTTTCTTGTGGGTTTGCAAAAACAGTCACACAGCAGTACTAATGTGTTGTACTGTCTCAGTGGTTAAGTTAAACTTTTAGCTGTGAAATGAAAGGGAAAAATTGGGTAACTGAATGCATCAGAGTCTCTCCTTGCTTCAGCAATAGGATTGCAGTTCTGGCTGTGGCACTGTGATCACCACCAGCTTTTGCTTTATTTGGGAATTAAGATTTGGCAGTTCTTAAAGAAACACCTATGTGTAAGGAGTTTTCCCACGTATTATCAGTTGAGCCATTGAGACTGTTGGAATGCACTCTGTTAGGGGAAGAAGAATGAGGGAAACATTAATACCAGAGAAATAAATAATCTTTTATATTTTAAAGCAGTAGTTAGTGTTAGTTGGTATTACAGGATTCTTGAGTGGGGGTTCCTTGGTGTAGTTGTAATATTTTGTTAGTCTTTCTTAATGTTCTAGAGAACAGTGAGAAATTTTCTTGCAGAGCAGCAATTGCTGTTTTTCAGAAAATAAGAAACAACAAGCATGGAGTCTCTTCCAATGTTTTAGTTTGTTGTTTTTGTTTGAGGTTTGTGTGTGTGTGTGTGTTGGCTGAAGGGAAGCCTTGAATTTTAAGTCTTCAAAAGAAATTATGCTTTAAGAAAAGCAAAAAGGCAAATTCTCTCAGGGACAAGCTAAACTAGAATTTCGTGTGCAAAGAGTTCAGTTAAAAAAAAAGCCTTCACTAGGAGCAATGAATCCAGTTACATATTTTAAGTGAATGTGAGGACTTGAAAGGAAGGGCAAAATTGTGGAGAAATGCAAGAATAAAGTTGCACTTCTGTGTAAGCCACAACTTACTGTTAAGTTCGATACTAATTTTGATCAGTTCTTAGATACTGTTTAAGTGAACTGAAGTCTAAGTACTGTAGTCCAAATGGTGAAAATTTGTATAGCTGATGCAAACAATATCCATTGTGATTCTTGCATCTGTTTTCCTAATCTAACATCTGCATGAATTGGAGTGGAGATAATCACACTAGTTAACTCCTTGAGGAGGGAGTTGCTTATCTTCACATTGTGATTTTAAAGTGATGCTTGGCACAGCAAGGAGCTCTGCATTTCTCTAAATTCAATGTGTTATACAAGAGCAGATTTTTCCACGCTTTTCTTCATTCCACCCTTAATGTTGAACTGAGGATATCCATACTGAGACACTTCTTGGCTAGGCCAGCTTTGAAAACATGACACCTTCTGCAACCCCTCTTCGTGTGATTTGACCATGTTTTTATAAGTCTG